CATAACTGAGATGCTCACCTGATCTTCGCTCACTGCCGGTATTGTTGACGTGATTCGTCGATTTAGACCAGTGTTGCATAGTGGTCGATGAGGATCAGCAACATATGATCCCGCAGAGCAATGCAACCAATGTCGATGTTTACAAGCAGCAGCGATGTACCTATCGCATCTGACGGATTGAAATTTTATTGTTTTTTGTTGAGCTAATTTCATCATGTATCAACTTTGACGCTGATCGAAAATCCTGCATGTACCAGGGTGCCGGGACTTTGTTTTCTGGGAAACACTTGTCAAGAGCATGTTGCTATTAAGGGAACCTCGTAAGTAATATTGATATCAATCATCGTGGAATAATGCTGATACATACCAAGTATTACATTCTTCTATGACACGAGTCGGCCCGCAATGAAATACTCAACCAATCATTGATTTGCTGAGTTGGTATTTCTTCACATTTGCCTTGACCTATGCTCGGGGTTGTTTGCAATGTTCTATGATGTTCCATGTGAGTTCAATTGTTCGTTTCTTTTGTTACATTGCAAACCACGCTTGCATGCTGTCATTTATGTAATAACTTATTCCGTGGCTCCACATCTCCAAGGTCACGTTCCGCATAAATAACGCATTCGCATTCTGCATCCTTCGTCATCCTTCAGAGGCCTTGGGAGTGAAATAGCCAGTCTCCAAAGCTCCGGTGCAGTCTCCGAATATTTTGTACGTGTCCCAATTTTTTCGGGTGCATAAAGTTGTGTTCCAGCTACTCGGTTGTCGTACTTCCCGCATGGCAATGCAATTCGTGTGAGTTCCATAAGGTTTCGTGTGAGTTCCTTGGCCTCTGCAGAGCTCCACATGCTCACGGAGAGATTGACATGCATGCTATGGATGTGGGTGCATTTCACTGTGTCTGTGTTAACTCACTTTCCAATGAACGGATCCAGCCTGTGCTTGCGGAGTTGCTGAATTACCGATCACCACTCCGCCGGCCTCTACATATTCTGGACTTGCGATGTCCCTAGCTACATCAGTCATCGGTATGACTCAGTGTGAGTGTGTCCTGTGTCCTGACACGCAGCACGCATGTTGTAAACCATAGTATATGTTCAAGTACGTCAAATGACACGTCTATACAATATCAAAGACAGCGAACGCCAACAAAGTAGTTGAACATAATTTTAAGGTTTCGATCGATCCGAACAAATAGGTCGAGTGTTACACCGCGATGCCGCGACGGGCTCGGGGAAATTCCCCAATTCGATAAAAAAGCAATCGATGCCGCCATAGAGTCCCAAAACGGTTCTGTATTGATTGCCAGTACTGAGGATCTGACTCTTTGCTCCGACGGCCAGTCACAGTATTACACCTTCACCATGGGCCTACTCACGATCATTCGTAAAAGCAGGCAAAAAGAACGGGAGATGAGAATTCTCTTCCTGTACGCCATCCGCAGCTCTCCGAGTTTATTCTTCCCACTCAACGACCGCGCAGAGGATTGGATAATGCTGGTAAGACGACTATCTTAAAAAAGATCAATGGGGAAGACATATCCAGCGTGAGCCCCACGCTTGGATTCAATATCAAAACGTTCATTCACAGAAAGTGAGCCTGGTAACTCAACTTGGATTTTTCTCTGCAACTGAGAGAATTCTTCTCTGTTTGATCGGCGTGATGCCACGCGTCACAGATACACTCTCAACATTTGTTAGTGAACAGACCCCCCTTATGCTTTTCTCGTGACGGAAACATCTTTGCTATCAGGGGATGTAGGCGGTCAACGAACGCTTCGACCATACTGGCGCAACTACTTCGAACAGACAGATGCCATTGTTTGGGTAGTCGATTCAGGGGACAGAATGCGAATGCGGGACTGCAGAGAAGAGCTACACAACCTTCTTCTCGAAGACGTAACATATGTTCTTTACGCTTGTTATTGACAGCAACTGACCAAATCGTGCGCTAGCGGTTATCTGGAGCTTCTCTCCTCGTCTTCGCGAACAAACAAGATATACATGGCTCGATGTCAGATCTTGAAATCAGCGAGGCCAGCTTCCTTACCATTCAGATGGCCTCGAGTGATGCTGATGAGTCTATCCAGGCACTGGATCTACCTGGCATCAAATCTCACAACTGGAAGATCTGGTCATGCAGTGCAGTTACTGGTCTTCATCTGATCCAAGGCCTCGACTGGGTCGTTGAAGATGTAGCTCACAGGCTTTACTACAGCTCGACTAGTTTCGCGTAATGTTTTTTCCATCTCGCGCGCACGAAAATCTGGAAAATCTGCTTGTGAATGCGCTTCTTTCACTGAGACGCATAGACCATGTCGATTGAGCGCCGCATGACGGTCTAGGTCTCATTTCCGCAGCGTGCAACCGAAACTGCGACCCTATTCTTTAGACGGCCCATATTATTTCCTTGCAGAGAAGGAGCGGGGGTGTCGGGCGAACGACTTGGTAGTATGACACGGCCTACCCGTATGGGTATAACTTTGAGAGAAGCAAGCTACTTCCTTGAATTTATCGCCTGAAAGTTCAGTGATTGTACTAGGTTAAAAAAATTTATTGATCCACTGCGGTTTCAGCGCTGCGTGCAAGTCACGTTTCCACTCGTTGGCATCCCTAGCGGGTAGCAGGTAACCGCACACGTAAAATTTGACAGGGAGTTAGGTCTTCAGAATCAACGCTTCAGGATTAGTGCATGAGATTCGAGGGTGCGTACTCTCAGGGGATACCGAACCTTCAGATAATCAGATTGTCGAGGCATCTTCACTGGTAAGACTCAAAATGTCAGTGCGCTTGCAGATGAACCAACATTCCGAGTCGGCAGAATGGCGCAGATCACCTGTGGTCCTACTTGATTGTACCGTGCAATCACCTACTGTGTTTACCCACCCCATCGCATAGCTTCAGGTGGATATTCGCTTTTCCTGAATCAGACTAGCTATCATAGAAGTTCACGCTGTGCATTACGCATTTATGAACGATAATCGGATTGTCATGAAACAGCTACTCATATCGTCATATCAGCCCGGATCAGCCGGTGCATAATCGTGCCTGGGTAAGAACCATGTGCATCATAGGGCATTTTGCGAGATGCACGGGCAAACCTGAGCGAACTTCAGGTTTGCATTACGAGAACATAGCGGCGAACGGTCGATAAATTCGACTCTCGAATTCAGTGTAGAGGCTGAAAACTGAAAACCGAGACAAAGACAAAGTGTGCTAGTTGAGTGGAAACTCTGAGAAGACCAGACATATATCCAGAACATCACCAGAGTTCTTGACGATCATTTGGCGATGCACTCTGTCAGGGCCAACCTGGGCAGTGTTCAAGCATATGAAAAACACGAGGGATCATCTTTTATAGAACATCGAAAACTGGGCGGATAATCGATTTAGGCAGGAGTTGGTATCGAGGCCAGGGATGGCTAGGGTCACGGCGATCCATTGCATTTTAATGCGATGATCGTACTCCGTTGCCCGTTGCCCTGCCACGGCGCGCATGCGCGGCAAGTCCATCAAAGACGAGAGGCGCAATGGAGAGGAAAAGACAGAACATTGGTCTAAGTAAGATGTGAGGTCAAAGTGCTTTGACTTTAGTGTGTTTGACAGATGACCCTGGGCGACATAACATCGGTTAACAACAAAGTTTAGACTTTCCAGGCCCCCGGGGGGAAGCCGGATCACGGTCAACTACGCCGGCTGGTGCTGACCGAGCGGAACAAAGCGATGGGTGGCTTGAACCAACCTTCCGATGCGGTTGCGGGTACCTAACAAAACATTATATGACGAAATATTATCATGGAGATGTTCTAACAGGGATATATGGCACCCTGGCAGGAACGTGGACTAAGCAAGGGTCAGGACGCGTGGTGGAGCAAACAAAGATCAAACCCGATAAGGTATGGATGGAATGGAATGAGGGGAGAAGGGCCGTGTTTGTTGCAAGAGCACAGGGAATTCACGGGTAGTAATGGTCCGTTGGGAGGAATGGAGTCATATCTGGGATCGGGGAGTTGTGCGAAGGGCTTGTGTGTGACTCGTGCAGATTAGGACAAACCAATAAGGTGGAGAGACGCAAGAAGGTGGAGAAGATTAGCAGAATGTGCGACTCGATCGTGTGCCTTTCGCGATACCAATTGAAACAAGACTTGATCTGGCAACGCCGCGTCACGGTGCACGGATGTGATTGGAGATCTGAATGACCAATGACAGTTGAGCATTGTTCTTGAAGCTTGAGAAGCTATTAATGTTTCAATTTACGACGTGGTTGTGACATGTAGATCAAAGTCTTGTATGAAACGCCACGTACAAGAGTGAGTCGGTATTGCACGTGACGAGTGAACCTTTCAGAGTTTTTGTTGAGCTGGCGTCTGACCCTGACTCGGATGGCAGTGTGTCGTGGAGTCTTGTTGCGACAAGGCCATGCGAGGCGGCGACAATAAAAAGGCCGAATGAACGCTTGTGACGAGGCACGGAACGAGGGAATGAGAACACTTGGTGTGGGAGCCACGTGTCGCTTGCAATAGTAAGCCTGAGATGAGGATTGCCCTTGAGTGCGCAAAGTTAACTTGGTAACCTTGTGGTTAATCGCAAAATCCCGGTCTAGGGGGGAATACTTCTTTATTGTTTTACGGTATACGGACATGTGCACATTGTTCAATCACCCTTCGCGGACCCAATAACATCCGGCAACGGATCTATATATTCTCGTCAAAGTTTTACTCCGTCAAAATGACTTGGATCGAGATCTAAAACTTGCCAAGTTCCCGCGAATATACCATTACGAGCGTGCAATGCAAAACTATGCACCATCTATTTTTGCCGGTCTCAGTCCACGATTTCCTCCAAGCGACACCATGACAAGGTCCTTCGTGGGTTCAACGTATAAAAGGCCTGTTGTCCATCCCCCATATCCTTCCTCCACAAGCTGCGCTGTACCTTTCGTTCTTCCCCTTCCTCAGCCAGTATATCATACACTTCTTCCCTTTCTTTATATACAAAATGTTGAACGCAGCGTCCTCAACCGCTTTGACATTCTCCTCCACTCCAAACTTTTATCGTTCTCCTTCATCATTATCTATAGTTCTCCCAAATCCCAAGACTATCATATCCACTTATGGTCAGTCAAATCATTATAGATAACACTTATCGTCCCCCCTCTGACATGATAATCACCTACTTTAGCGCGGAGCTCGGTCCTTGCCGTCATGGAGAAAGCCATCACTTGCGGCCACCTGACAGTCGCCGATTCTGAGGGCGTTCATCACTTCGGCACTCGCTCAAAAGGCTCAAACGATGTCTACCTCAAAGTCGTCAACAACGACTTCTGGATGCGTATTCTATTGTACGTCCCCTCTATGCATTCACTTTCACATCTTGCTAATAATACTCCAGTTCTCAAGATCTGGGCTGTAAGTTCATCTACGTCATATCTCTCAAACATCATTCCAATTTTCTATAGTCAGTGAAGCCTACATGATGGGAGACGTCGAAGTCGACAGCCTCAAGGGTGTCATGGACGTAAGTCGCGTCAATTGCTTTAATGCGGCCGCTGATGAATTCTTTTTGGCAATTAGCTCTGGCTCGACAATGAGTCTGGAATGGATAACTTGTCTTCTGCTGTCTCTCGCGTAACTTCGGCAATTTCCGGCATATCGAACGCATTTCTCGGCCAGACGCGCTCCCAAGCACGTTTGAATGCCATCGCCAGTTACGATCAATCAAATGAGCTATTCAAGGTAATGAAGAATCATGTTCTCACGGCAATAATGCGATCTCACAGGCCTTTACTTGTAGGCCTTCCTCAGTCAGGAGATGATGTACTCTTGCGCCCTGTGGACCGAAGCCGAAGGTGGTGTCCGTGGAGATTTGATTTCTGGTCCCACACCCGGAGACCTGGAAGCTGCCCAGCTCCGTAAAATTCGTTATGTTCTCACCGCAGCCAAAGTCAAGCCAGGCGACCGAATACTAGAATTTGGTTCGGGCTGGGGCGGTATGGCCATCGAGGTCCGTTGCGCCACAAATACTTTTGATTCTATCCCTCATCTTCATCTATTTCAGGCTGCTCGCACGTTTGGTTGCGAAGTCGACACTTTGACTTTGTCAAAAGAACAAAAGGCTCTTGCTGAGGAACGCATCAAGGCGGCTGGTCTGCAAGATGTCATCCGTGTTCATCTCATGGACTACCGCGAGATCCCTCCTTCTTTCGAAAAGGCCTTTGATGCTTTTATCAGCATCGAGATGCTTGAGGTATGCAATCAATTACCAGTGGTGGCATCGCGATAATTTACGCTCGACCGTATAGCATGTGGGCTCTAAGCACTACCACGGCTACTTCAAACTGGTCGATTTTGCTCTCAAATCCAGCAATGCAACAGCTGTGGTTAGTGCATCAACATTCCCAGAATCCCGATACTCTGGCTATCAGTACGTTGTTCGCATTTCTAAAACTCCACATACTCACCTAAAGATTTAGGCCTGAGGATTTCATGCGCAAATACATGTGGCCCAATTCCTGCCTCCCTAGTGCCACGGCGCTCATCACCGCCGCAAACACTGGTTCAGAAGGGCGTTTCACGCTCGAGGGTGTTGAAAATCACGCGGCTCGTAAGTGCTTTTTTACTTTAAATGACATTCTTAATAACTAATCTTGTGTACGTGTAGACTACCCACGGACGCTGCGCGAATGGGGACGTCGTCTCGATGCCAATGTCAGACAGGACTTGATTGTCAAAGACTACCCTAGTCTAAAAGACACGGCCGAATTCGACACTTTCCGGCGCAAATGGCAATACCTGTTTGCATATGCAGGCGCTGGTTTTGCCAAAGGTTACATCACCTGCCACATGCTCACATTCACCCGTCCAGTAAGTTGTCATCATTTTTGGTCGACCCTTTCCCCTAATTCCATTCATAGAATGACTGCCCTGCCACCTGCGACTGAAATTAAAGTGCATCACTGCCTGTGTTTTGAATCAGGGATTCGAATAATTCTGGAAAAGGATCTTATAAAGATCGATGCCTGTGCACATAGACTCGTGCACATTACTACTTTATTCCTCCAATTATTGTGCTGATGGTGATCTCCTGCTTATCTATCCGGCTCAGCTGCGCACATTTCGTTCTACTCTACTACTGTATCAATACGTTGCATAGATCCGCGACCTTATATCGTTACTTTTGCATCCATACACTTACCACTGTCTCTTATTTACGTACGGGAATAAATACTATTGTTTTATGAACTACCACCTTGGTTTGACAAGTTGACTTCGCCGCTGTTGTAAGGAATTCGCTCCGAGCAAGGGTCAAAGAGCTCGCTCCCTATCCTTCAGTACTTCAGCTTCAACTTGACAAGTCGCCCCTGAAGGCTGACTTGCCACTTACCAAGACTTTCCCGGGGTTGTCCGATTCGCCGGATCATTTACAAAGTTGACATTAGCTAATTGACAATTCCCCAGTTGGCAAACAGACTCACACAACTCGAAGGCTTTGAAGGTGAGAAAGATCTTGTCCTTGTCATCCTACAGGCCGCCATGCGGCATCTAGAAGTTTGAGGTTCTGTCGTTTAACTTTTCTATCATGATCTGAGGAAGGGCACCGTTGGCAGAGGTGTGAATTATCTTCCAGCATGCGTTGCCGATGTCGGTTCGTCACGTCAAAAACTGCAATGCCGGCAAGACGGTGATTGTATGTAGCTCTCCTGGAAGACTACTCCTGAAACATAAAATAGAATTTCTTGACAAGGCACGACGGAAATCGCCATGGAATATTGAGCGCTCGCTACCGTATACGTACAGTGCATAATATTTGTCCACAGCAATGAGCACGCACTGCATTTCCTGATGTGATATATACACAAGTCAATTTAGGTTTGAACCAAGTTTGAACAACCTTGGTGGAACTGCCAGTGCCAGTGCCAGTTCCAGTGGCCATCATCTTGGCTCACCACAATATTGTCGTATGTGACCCTATCCGTGCCAGGCCTAGGCCTGACCTGTGATCATAATGATGCTATCATGCCATCGGAACCATCGGATTCCACCGCGAAATTTCCGCAGATGTTTGGTCGTTAACGCAGAACAAGGAACGCTTTAAGTTTGCGGATGTAAAGGGTGTGCTCGGCCTAACATAATGGCACGCCCCCGAACAAGCGATGGCCGCGTGAGATACAATGTGTTAGTGCAATCAACGTACAAACCGATGCAATCGAGTGAACCGTCAAATGACTTGTCAGATGGACAGGGAAGCTACAGAGTATGTAGCCTCATTATCCGCATGTGTAGTTCGTCTCGAAACCTTGACAAATCATTGCCTTATACATAGGCGAACGCGTGTGACGCACAGATGGCTGCAGTACTGGTGCCACAACGTTGTCCCGTGTTTGCGAGTGAATATATTTTTCTGGTCTGACCCCCGATGCCCCTGGGATGGTTGCGATATATAGTAAGTTCATTCAATCAGGGCGTGAGCTGTCTACAATTGGCGGAGGGAATAACATACGTAAGGTATAGCATAAGACAGGCGTATGGCGAACAGAAAACCAACAATAAGGATGTGGATCCACAACATGGAAGCAGCAACGCTGCGTGGTATATTAGATGATGCCAGTAGGGTCAAGCTTTGAAGTCCATGACTGTAACTCCTTGAATGAGGGTGCGGCGAGTGCGTGCGAGTTCGCAGTAGTAAAGAGCGTAAAACAGAATTGTTTCTATATGAAAACTAAGCATGAACACATATGAGATATGAACAGGAAAGCTTACACCCAAAAGTTGCTCTTTCTGTGTATCACATTCAAGGTTTGCTCCGTGAAGACTGATAACACCGGCTTGCTCCAATTCGTTAGAGTGTGTGTAGACATGTAGATAGGGTCTAAAATAACTGTAAGCAGTGTCCTGCATGGAAAACTTATTGGGGTTGATTACCTTCGAAGGACGAACCAGCGCTTTTCCCAGATATTTTGACTGGCGTCTGTCAGAATTAGGAGATGTCCTCTTTTCGTGGGTCCGTCACTACGGAGGGGATTAGAGTTCAGGGAACGTTTGTAAGCACTTAAGTAACCAAAGGCTTGCCTACGGGGTACCAGCGTAGTGGATGAGTTCAGTTTCACACCTTGTGGAAGCGCACGGGTGGAAGGCTTCCCAGATGCAGCAACACAAACAGTCTCTGTAGGCACTTGACTCAGGATGATCTGGAAATAATTAACGTCAAACCATGTAAATCCGACTAGAACCAGCTTACTTCTCCTGCATGGCCAAAACGTTTTTGCCAGAGATTCAGTGCCTTCCGCAGCAGTGCTTCCGAACCCCAAACAACAGCTCCCGAATCAGGGCGCGCAGGTAAGCATGAAGATGTTAACAGCACCCGAACTGCTTGAACATCCGCTGCCCGTCGTTCCGTTAAAACAAGCCGGTTGTAATCCTCCACTACTGAGATACCACGTGGTTTCCACGTGCACAGTAACTCCTCTCCGCGTACATATTTTTCCGACGTATCCAAGCGCCACAAATCCTGAGGCGAACGTGTCAGAGGCGGCGAAAGACGTAGGTTGAAGATTGAGCTGATGCGGGAGGTGATCTTGCCGGAGCTCAGGAACGTTAGTAATCGGCCTGGCGGACGCGCGTCCCGTGTCTGAATGGCGACCGCTATGTCCGTGCTAAATTGCACTGGTTCATTACACGTGTCCACAGCAATGGACCAGGCAACCTGCAGTATCACTCGGTGTGCACTCGCCGTAACTCGATTGAGGAGGAGAGAATCATGAACGCTTGAGTCCCATAGTGCTTCTGCTGTGAGGGTCCCCGTGCCATCCGGTCTGAACGCAACACTTTGATCTGCCAGTAGCGGGAGCGTAACCATCACTTTCGATGTCGAGTTGTGCTGGCGACCTTTTGGATCGAGGAGGCGCACATTTCCCAGACGTATTCGGGTGACATCTGTCCATGGGAGTTGCGGTCCGGAATCTGATGAAAGCACGAGAGCAATTCTGCGCTGCAGTCCCTGATGTAGAGAGAATACCCCCGGATCGAGGCTTCCCTGGGAAAGCACGGGTACTGGAATATACTGACCATCAGCCCCGAGCTCCTTTACCTGGACACAAGCGACTACGTCATGGGCTTGCTCCACGAGAAAATCGGTTTCCGAACGACGCATCTGGGGAAGAATGACTGGAGGTGTGTCTGTGTGGGCCCCAGGAGGATCATGAACTCTCAGTTCGCGCATCTCATCCCAGCGTTCAAGACGCTCCAAATATGTGGGTTTAGCAGCCGCAAAGAACTCTATGGGAGCGTAGCCTTGGCGCAAATATGTGATTACCTTGGAAGAAGTCACGATCAAAAACGCACGCCGAAACTTTAGTTCCGATAGGGAAGATGTCTCCATATCGAGTGCGGTAGATGAGAATATCTCTTCGCTCGTGAGTGATGGTCCCACGAAGGATGATAAACGCAGTTGAAGGTGTAGTGCCGAGAAGTCGTGTGAGGATAAACCTTTGATCGAATCTACGGTTATGAAGAAGCTAATCTTGCTTCCGGGTAGTATGGCCGATGGAGCTGGGGATGTAGGGCGGGTTGACGCAGGAGTACCATGCTTCGACGCTTGCAGAACGCTGGAAATCTTAATATCCACGCGACACGAGCCTATTGCTTCTGCCGTGTACCGGCAGAATATTGGCACGACTGATGTAGATGATATTCGGCGAGATAGGGGTGCAAGTGATAGGAGGGCATTGCCGATGAATGAGAATTGTGGGGGCGGGGAATCGTAGAAAGGTTCATCCGAGCTAAAATGCTGGGTATATGATGGTCTGTCAATGTATGTAGTCAAATTTCTCATTCGCTTGACTCGCTGCTGCAGGCGATCCAAGGACCAGGTGTAGATAGCATTATGCCTTTTGTCGAGAACCTTGACGGCGACTGAAGGTTGGGTTGCTGGTGCCAGTGTGGGATCGGCAACATCACCGAAACCGTCCAGACCTCCGATTGTATCGACACCAGATATCGGAGCTGCCAGGGACCCACCAGAGGCAATGGTGAAGTTGTAAGAAACTTCTTTGCCCAACTCTTTACTAATTTGAATGAGACAGTTGATGTTCAGAAATTCGAGTGATAACACACCTAATTATGTTGGCTTCTTTTACAAGCACGGCATTGGACAAAACAGCTTCAGCCATTGAAAATGAGCGATGGGCTCTCCACTTGTCCAGGACTTTGCGAATGAGTCGTAACTGTCTCGCCGTATAAATGACGGGCTCGAAACGCTCAAACTCTTCTTCGGATTCTCCCCGGGCCCGTGCATTTATCATGCGCTTAAGCTGCTGCTGCACCATTCTCAGTTGGTGCTCCATATGATCTTTCTCTACTTTCAAGTCTTCCGCCTCACTAGACTCTGTGATGGCTTGAAGACGGGACTCAAGTTGGTACTGAACATCCTTTAGAGGCCCGTCAACGTCAGGTGTACTATGACTCGCTCCAGCTTCAAGGCTTGTGTCATCTGTGGTAGCGTCACTCGAAAAAGGTCGACCTGACTCGCTCCAGATATCGTCCCGAACGCTGAGGCTACTTTCTGGTCGTGGTTTGGAGTTGTGATCTCGCATCGACTTCACCTTCGTGATGCGTTCGAAGAGCCTATTGATATCTTCGTCCGGCAAGTTATCAAGAGCAGGATCCAGGCCAAGGCGAGCAAGTGCGGCTTCTCGACGTGCAAAATTCCAGTCTACATCAGCTTCGTCCGCAGAAGATGCCCTCGATTCCGGGCGCGTGGATGGTGGCACTGAATCGCCTTCTACATCAGCAGCAGACACACTCAAGTGCATGTTGGATCTCGCCGTGGCGCGATCGCGTTGCTTGCGGACTTCCTCGGGATTATTGAACCTGAAGACGTGGTGCTCCCCTAAATGAAACAGATGAATTCTCCACCACTAAGAGGAAATAAATTCTGACCAAGGATGATCCGGTATCCAGAACGCAGTTTATAAGACTACATCAATAACATTGAGTTCTTTCCTTTCAAAAACCAATCGATTTACCTGTCCAGGGGAAACTTGTTTGCCGTTCAAGAACTGCAAACATAGTCAGGTAAAGTGCAGCTGCGTACGGAGAAATGATTCTCACAGTGACGCTCTCGGGCATAGCGTGAAGGGTCACTTTGCCGTCTGTGTTCTCAAAGTAACAATGTTCCTCGAGGATATTTTCACCGCTCAGTCGAATTGCGGCAGGTTTTTCGCTGTCCAAGCGACCGACCTATCGAACACCATTTCTATATTCAGCAGCTATGAGCAAGCGAAGAGCAATCGTACGATGGTTGTACCAGGTTTGAGTTGGTATATCAAACATTCGCTCATGAGAGGATCTGATGAAATACATAATCAGACTGCATTCGGGCTAAATCTCGAGCTCTCACCTTCATTCTGAAAAGATACAATAGTAATTTAATCATATAACCCACCAAGAAAAACGAAAGAAACTGACCAAATTCACTAAATGCGGCATCTGAAAACAAACACGTCCAGCAGATTAGCACAACATTCCCTTCAGGCGTCCCATCCTCACCTTCTTTGGGGTATGTACTCCCACCAAATTCTTCTCGACCGTGATACCAAGCTCTTCAAGTGCCTTCTCCCGCTCTTTTTGTACCTCCTGCGTCCGAGACATCTTCTGCTCCCACGTCTCATTCAAACTCTGCATCAATTTCTCGCCCGTCTCCATCTGCTCCTGCAACTCCGCTTTGGTAACAGTCTTGATCTTTCCATCCTTCGTCTTGTACGTGACCTTCTGTTTCTCAGGCGGAACGTGCGGGTCGAATGTATCTTCTCCGGAGGACGTCGCCACACGTGCTGAGGAGTGTCAACCAGCTGTCAAAGTATAAAACGATGAAAGTTACCTCGAAGCATTTCAAGCTCCTCCTTGAGTTCGCGAACAAGTTTGGCATTAGGGTCCTCGTTTACGACAGCCTTGTTCTTGATCTTCTTTGCTTGGTCAGCGTATCGTAGAGTACTCAGCGTCTCCTCATAATCTGCAGGAGAGATGGCAGCTATCATAGCAGTTTTGGAGTTCCCGCCCAAAGTGTCTTTCAGCAACCATGTCAAGACCTAGTCGAAACCTATAAATAGGCATCATCCAGAAAAAAGATGACGCACCGAGTCACGGTAAGGTACGAATTCTTCAGCCTTTCCTTTCTTCCCCTTCTTCCCCCCATCCTGACTCGCAAGCGCGAGAGAAGAAATAACTTTCCCGAGGGTAGTGAGCGATTTATTAATATTCGCTCCCTCCTTCAAACGCTGTCCAGTGGCACCTGTCGAATTAGCCCGCTCAGAACCTGCCAAGTCAACCAAACTGCGTCGCATCAGATAGATAAATCAATGGACACCTATCAAAGGAATTGCAACGCGAAGAAACGCACCTAATTCGCGACACCTTCTCGGTATCTAATTTCGTCTCTACGTCATGCCTTTTCATAGTCAACAGCAGTGTGAATACTGCATGGGACCGAGAAGAGGTCTCATTCATGTTCGTGGCAGCGACGGTGCGCGCTTTATTGCCCTCGTCCATGAGCGTCATCATCTCGTGGTAGTTGTTCACGACTAGCTTCGATAGATCCTCTACATAGGGACCTAAGCTAGGATGTTCACGAACTCGAAGGTTTCCTGTGTTCTTTGGATTCAAGAGGTCGCGTACTTTCTCGTTATAGATCTAATAGTGAAAAATAAAGTGAAAACTGCATTAGGGTTCGAAGCATGTGGCCTACCTCGATGTAGGAAACCTCTACGGTGAAATTGATGTTGGGGTCTGCAGCTTTCTTATCCTCTACACGTACAAACAGCTCGGAACATGTCAAGGGTATGATTCCTTTGTCGGGTCCATCTAGTGATCATCTCCATAAGTAGCACGCGAGTCATTCGTTTCATCATACGCACATCCCATCATACTGTACACCAATTCTCAGTATCACACACCAAAAGAATATGCTTGAACACACCTATATGATTTACCAGATCCTGGTCATTGGTCAAGGCACATGAGCCATACCCAGTGATAAAATAAAACGCAAGCATACCAGTCTGCCCATCTGTCAGACCGGGGTAGTATCAGCACACCTTTTCACAGAAAAATATCCGAAAAACAAACCACTTACAAGCCAAAATACAAGCATTAAATCCTGCAAACCCATGATCCAACAACTCCTTTCCCAGGTCTTCATACAAAGTCTGCTGCGAGCAGTACCCTGGTTCATCTCGTGGTCCCGCAGACCAATAGCTCCTATCGAAGCCAAAGGCCATTGTTTTGCGTTCCGTAGCACGTTTGGAGTCCTGCTGAGAACCGTGTTCCGGTGGGTCGAGGAAAGTCTGGTTGCCCTGCATCCGGACAAGTGGTTTGGCACCTCGTGCGAGTTCTGTAGGCAAGAATCGGGAAAGTTGGGATGAGTATGAACTATGCATACGTATCCCTCACGAACGCACCGCGAGAATTGAGGGGTCTACATCGCACCACCACTTTGATGTTGCCGTCTCCTTCGGCCATGGTCAAAGTGGACTATAAAGTAGGAGCCAATTATTGTGAGTCCTGCGTCAAGAAAATGTTCTATGAGTGAGAAATGTCGCAAAAAGATAGCTGTAGCTAGATTTGGGATGAAAGGAAGGGTATTGGTCTGGCGGTAGTTTAACGCGTTTGAGCGAGTTCAGTATCAAATTCACGTGCTGTACTTTGGCCTACTTTGGCTTACTCAATGATTGCTCAGTCTACTTGTCATCGACGTTAGGCCTTGTGACTCTTCAGCCTGAGTTATACCGTTTCATGTTATGAACTTGTTACTTGACTATAATATCGCAGGCTCTTCACTCTGATGGGCGAGGTCATCTTTGCAACCCCCTTGCTTCGTCGCTAGCTCATCGACAAGAGTGACAAAAAACGATCGATGTCCAATCTGAAACTCACGCTTCCCTGAATAGCACCATTTCCCTGACATGTATATGAATCCAGTAATGATCTTGACTATACCCCCGTTCAAAGAACTACGACATGAACTTGACGCTCTACTATAATATCAAGCTCTTACTACCTATAACTAACGGGGATGCTAAGCTTCACAATGTGTCTTGTTTTGTATCACGAGATAGATGATACGGGGATGCGTAGAGACCGTATGGGAAAGGAAGGAGAGGGTTGGTGGAGAATTATAAATACTCTGGTGTCTCGCAGTCATCCAAGGGTCACTAATGCATTTATTTACTCATTAACCACAAGTATATTATCACGCGATAAGATCGACACTGGATCCTTCGACTTCGTGTAAGTTATTTGTATATGTGGCCTCTGAATGGATTCCGTTCATACTCTGCAGTACAGCACATGCGTCATTTGGGTGGACCGTTGCTATCCATAACTGGCTCATATCGTCACTTAACCGATGTTGTTCGAGGCGACCCCGAGTACGTACGACTCAAACAATGATTGTCAGACATCAGTGATTCCGGCAAGCATCGCATTTGACAAAGACGCGTAGTCCCAAACGGCGCGTACCCCTGTCCCTTCATGGGCCTGTTGCCGCCTAATAGCCGTTATTATCTTCGTGCTGAACGTATTGCAACCCATATTCGGGTTGACCCGTGTGCAAGCGGCAGCTCGCGTTGCAACGAAGACATGATCGATAATTCCAGTAGCAAGAACAACCAAGGACCGCACATGGTTAAAGAAGCAGCTCCCGATCTATTCATAGTAACGTATCAAGACCTATAATCAGTCCAAACCCTAGCACAATCACGAGAATATGTGAACGAGTGCGGTGTTGTTACGACTTTTATGCTGTGTCGTCGGCAGCCTGAATATGACATGCTTCGAGTGCCTGTCATGAAGACGGCCAAGGGAGCGGCGCCGAGAATAGGCTGACGAAGGTAAGTGAGTTAAGGTTAAGTCCGCGAGGAACCGACAATACGGAGGTAACGCACATGACGACATCATCGACTATGGACGTGTCGATGGGGCAATCATAGTAGATCGTAATCGTCGAGCTTCGAGAGATGGTCAGGAAGAAATGCGAATTTTACAGTCGATCGCTTACCTCGTCGTTGTAGTTCATGATGGTTCTCTTCAACTTAGAAGTGTCCACCCAAGTGACGAAGTCTTCCATGTGTCTGAGAGGCGATGAGAATACGAAAACGAGATTAATTTTGTAACGCGCCTCGTGACAAGAAAAGCGGGATCGGTGATATTATCTGGACCAACACGGACGTGACCTTGTTCGATAAATTTTGCAGCCTGAAGAAGTGAGTTGGGAGTGTAATTTGAATAGGTTTGGACGTACTGCGCTGACTGTTTCTGCCATCTTGCTCATGCACATGAAAACGGCAAGGCGACGCCTGCAAAAGGCAGCAACGGTGAGCTTGTTGTCAACGTCACTTAATTTTGCTTGGGAGTTAAGTACGCCAATGTCATAGAGTTTAGAGAGCAGCTGTGACTCCATGCGGGTACGAAACGGGTCTTGAGCCGGTAGAACGGATAGACGGTGTGCAAATGATCTTAGAGCACCGCAAAGCTTGTTGTACCTGTGATGATGTTCATGTTAACATGATCGACGGAGGAGTTAGAAGCTTACTTGTGGTAATCTTCTCTGTCCTGGATATGGTACCTGCGAATGACTTTGATCTCACGAATATTTGCATCTTGTTTCCACTTGATAGTCTTTGGTTAGTGAATTATGGAATAGAGAATGAGACATACGTTTAAAAAGTCGACTTTCTTGAGCAATTTCTGCTCGTGATACTTGAATTTGCGGACCATGAGTGCTATAGCTGAATGCTGTGTTTATAAAATTTTGATTCCGGTGATTGTGCTGTCAAGCACGTGGTAAACGAAGGCTGCGTGTGAGAGTCTTGGTAGTACCTTGGACTAGATTCAAACTTGGACGACGTCGACCCTTGTCGTCCTTCGACCAATCTCAATTAATAGTTTAGCTAGTTGACTTTGTCGTCGTCGTCGTTATTGTCGTCGTCGTCGTCGTCGTACTCGTCGTCCTCCTCGTCATCGTTCTACTCTTCATATATCTTTGATCGTCATGAACGTTCGACCTGGTGACATGCTTCGGCCACAGAGCATGGCACAACTCTCCATGAATCCCTCTCCTCATTTTCAACAACAACCTCCACAGCAGCAGCAGCCTCCTCCAAATCACGTCCCGTCGCTCATGCCACATAACCCAATGAACTTACTAGCAGCCGGGGGTCCACAATCCCAAAACAGCATGGACTTCCGTCGTCGTCAGCAGTTACACCAGATACAGCAGCAGCAGCAGCAGCAACAACAACATCAACAGCAGCAGCAGCAACAGCAGCAGCAGCAGCAGCAGGCACAGAATGTTCAGATGAGCACCGCAGCAGTAGCTTCACAAGCTAATTCTCATATGAATTCTATCCCTCAACACCTCGCTTTTTCGGGTAACATGATGTCTCAGGCTGGAAGCAATCTTGGACAGGTCGGAAGAGTCGCCTCTCATCCACAGGCGCTCAATCACGTCAATCACGTCCAAGCAATACATCCCGGTCAACCAAATATGCCTGGCATACCTCCAATGAATCCACAAAATAATATCCCTTCTCATTTACGTCAACCATCCGCTCAACCAATGTTGTCTCGTATCCCTAGCTCAATTCCTACCTCAATGTCACCAGATTTGTCTAGTACACTAAATCGCTCTCAAGGTCAAAATCCAATGCGAACTCAATCATCCCAGCCCCAGTTGATGAACAGTCTATCACAACCGACTCTTTCTCAAGCCGGAACCTCCACAACGATGCCACCAAATGGTTTTCCATCCCACTCGCATCATCCAATCACTTCTTCTTCCCCTCGTCCTACAGGTCCTCTCCAAGGTCATGCCTCCAATATGATCATGGGTACACCTGGTCCTTCACAACCCCCCGGTGCTCGTCCAATGAACCCCGGTGATGGAGTATTCATGGGTATTCAGAATCCCCAGTTCAACCCTGGCTTTACCCCAGGAGGTAATCGAATATCGTCCTCCAACCCTTCCTTCACTACTTTTGTGCCTTCATCCACCCAGGGTGACATGGACATGCAGCAGAACATCTCAGATGGCATGTCTAATCCAGGCAGTCGTCCTGGATTCCTTACACCTGCCCAGCAGTTTGAGCATATGCAGCACACTGATAACAGTTTTGGCGGTAATTTCAACATGCCGACCCAAGTAAACGTCCCCCCTCGTCCTCCATCTCACCCCACGTCCGGTATACATCCTTCCATAACACCTCGACAACCACCACCTCCCCATCAACACTCTCCACATCAGCCCGATCCTATGGCAGGTCATGTACAACAACAACAACAACAACAACCTCCAAGACCCCAGTCTCAGCCACAGGGTCCCTCTGTTAGACCACCATCACAAGCTGGGCCGTCGCAAACCCCTCGAGCTTCGCATACCCAGCTTCCGCCATCATCGTCTAGCGGTCTCCTTCCTCCTACACGTATACCCCCCGTCACACAAGCACAGACGTCACCGCATCAACAACGGCAGGCAACTCCAGGGCAGCAGCCAATAGCTCCACGGCCGCCACAGTCTTCGACGAGCGCTGCCGCTGCACCTCCTGTTACGACCGCGCCGTCCTCGGAGCCGGCGGTCCCGCCTCCCATTCGCACCTCCCCTGTGTAAGTGTTACTTAGATGGCTTTTCTTGGCCGTACTTATGTTTTCCCAAAGGGTGGCCATGCCCGTTGGTCTTGGACAGGGTCTTGTTCGATTGCTTCAATTTAGCGGAGTCCTTTCAGCCGAAAACCCCACTGTACGTCATTTCATATTAATATCATCCCTCAATCATGAATCCTCGGTAGAAACATCAGTTATCACACTGGGAAACTGTTGTGAAAGACTACTTCACTCCGACGGCCATAATGAAATTTACCTTGTGGAAAGATAACCAGCGGAATGAAGCAAAGCCTTTCGGTTAGTCGCAATTTTCTCAAATCTTAATTTTGCTCATCTGTTCCGGCATCAGAGATCGGCGTGCCTATTCTGCCTCGGTTTTTTCTAGTCACCACCCAATCTGGTGTGAAATCCATGACACTCTCGCTGGACGGTGCCCGAGAACGGCTACTCTCACAACACCACGCGGTTGTAGAGTGTGTTGCGGCTGTTTGGACATACCGATACACCAACGGGTACACAGTCACACTTCGGGGTCCGCTCACAGTCCACGTTATCCTCATTCCTCAGCCAAACGCCGCCACCTCCCAAACACCGCCATATTCCCTCAAATTTGACCACCTCCAATTCGATGCAAATCATCACGAAAAGTTTATTGCCTTGGACTCGGTAATGGGTCATAGGCAATCGGAGTCACCGAAGACGCCACGCGTGAGGACGGCACCGACGCCAAGTCCGAACGGGACGGTGATGCATAGGATGGATGATGAGAGAATATGGGAAGAACCCAGAGTTATGATCGACCATGCGTCGATACCGGGAGAACCTGTGAACGCATTTGGGATTCCGCAGGCTACCATGCGGTGTCTGGAGGTACGCGCTTTTCGGCTCCGCATTTGTCTTTGCTGAACGCGAGGCGTGGTAGTTGGCAGAAAGTGTCAGTCAGATGACCGATCTAATCACATTTGCGAATGAAACAAAGCTAGGACCAATGGGTAATGTTTGCTTGTCAAGACTCTTAGTGAACGGTCGCTGACTTGCTAGAACGGTTAGACGCCCTTGCAAAGCTAGCGGACAAGCTACGAGAAGGGTCTCAAGGGGGTCCCTATATGGGCATGCCTCTCTCAAATGGGCACTTCCTGCCCTTTCAAACCATGAACGGGCTTTCAACATCGCCAGCGGTGACGTTGTATCATAGCATGTCTTCATCACCGTCAGTATCGCATCCTGGGCCCTCTGCGCACTCCCCAAAAAACCTCCCTCCCTCGGCTGACAACTCACAAAAGCAGACCAGACCCACAACTGCATCTGGCACCGCGCCCCCCAACTCCTCAAATCCAGCCAATGCACCCACACCTTCCCAATCCGGCATGACAACGCCTTCAATGACCTCGGCCACCCTCAAACGCAAGACCAACGACACCAATTCGCCTTCTCAATCAAATGCCGAGCCTTCAAAAAAGACGCGAAAGTTGACCCAGAGACGGTAGCGGATGATCTATATATTCGGATTTCTTTTGTTGCTTCGTCGTCGATCGATCTGAGCGATCATATTGTTTTGTCGCATTGCATGATGCTGAATATACCAGCTTCGATATCGACATAGTATTCTAACTTTGCTAGGGATGTAACTTGCCACGCTCATTGTCAAGTAGAACTGCTTTACTTACATACACCTGTTTTTATTTATAGCTTTTGTTTGTATCATCACCAAACGGCGTGTTCAGCTTCTTTTGATTTTTGAGTTCTTGGCGTATCAATGCTGCCTGACACAGACCATCAAGATGCCATCATATTGGATATCAAAAATGTTAGTCCACGGAACATGCTCAATGCTGTATACGATGCTACCGCCCATCTCTCTGAACTCCCATCACGAATAGATTGGTTCATGGCTAAAATCGCACTGATCGCCATATCTGCACCTGTTATTACGTTGAATCAGTTTTAGTCCCACGATCCAGAATTTGGCATGTTTGATGCTCGCCTTCCTTCTGCAAAAAAACTGCATGGTTTTCGTTTACTACTTCTATACGATCCATCTTCTCCCCGTCCACGGCCACGTCCGCGACCGCGAAACTGACCCCTATCTGACGCCCATCGCCCGCGAGCACTACCATTGTCAGCATATCCTCGACCATAATCACCGGTGGCGGCGTTCGAATTCCAGTTCTGATCTTGGCCTCCAAATTGGGCTTGTACACCGGGTCCAGACGGGTGCTGGTTGAATAACGCTTGCGCCTGCTGCATTAATTCCTGCACCTGTTCTGGCGCAATAGGCAATTGTGAAAGCAGTGCGGGATCAAAGCCAAATGATTGGATACCCGCACTGCTGGGCGCATTCATCGAATCAAAACCTCCCGATAATTGACCTACGAGATCGGCGACAGATGCGGCGTTGGGCTGAGGCAGATCGGCTTCTCTCCAGAAGAAATTATCGCACTCTGACCCCACCGTCATGGTCTTCACATCCACATCTATCTCGTCATCACTGATTATCGTCGTGGGCTCGCCAGGACTGTCAGGTATCTGTGCTGACGACATGTATAGTGCACCCAAAGCTGTTTGCTCACGCTCCTCCTGAGTCGTCTTTTCTGTACTATTATGTCCACGTTGGGACGCTTCGAGATCGAATTCGAGAGCTATAGATTGCGTTCATTAATTGGTGGCGACTCATGATAACGATGATAATTTGCTCACTTATTGGATCCGTCCAATCGATAACTTCTTCGAATAGGGGAGCATGTAGAGCAGCACCCTCTCCCCGATCCAGATCGCGCAAACTGTGAGCAGTATGAACACCCTATGTGAACAAAATACACAAAGGTATTCGTGACATCAATATAAGTACTGTACACCAACATAAAAAACGAGAGTAGAATGCTGACATCAACAGGGTCATCATCGTACACAGCTCGTTCTATCAGCCGGATCGATTCTAGCTGACCATCAGGAGCCCAAGTCACAGACTTTCTCTTTGTTCTTCCAGAAGTCACCAGGGGCGGCGTAATCGACATCGAAGCTGGTGGCGGTGTTGGCGTTACTGGAGAGTCTCTACGCCCTTTACCCATTGACTTCAATGCCTCCTGGAACGGATCGATCGACGATGGTTGCGCAACATTGAGATCAGGCTCCTTCTTGACAGGCGCCGGGGCTTTCTTGAAGCTCGGTAATTTGGCTTTCGGTTTCGGCGCAGAAAAGAATGAGGAATCGGAACGAGCATCTTTGACGGCGAGAACATGTTTCGTCTCTTTCTTCATGGCTGTTGGCTTTGACGCGGAAGCAGTAGGCGCTACAGCGGCCTTCTTGGCAGGTGGTGGCAGGTTTTGCTGAGGGCTGTTCGACAGGCTTTCGCTTTTTGAGCTTCGAATCTGCAAGGCATGAGTCAATGAGCGCTTGTTCATTGGTGCAACGAACTGACGTGACCCACCCTCAGTTTGTGTATTTTCTGCCTGCTTTTGGGCAGTTTCGACCAATTGTCGCCATCTCCGTTCCAAGTTCGATGCCATGTCCTTGATCGCTGCACATTTGAACAACACAGAAATCAAACAAGAGTTAGATACATGTAATTTTCGTTGGCTCAAGCAAGTAGTAATAATACGACAGACACGCAAACTGTGGTTGCAAGGCTGAAATCGTACACGGTTCACGTAGTCTCTCACGGAGACCGCATGAGTGGATATTTGTGAAACCGAACGCTCACCTGGAGCTGGAGGCTCCTTGACTAACTTGACGATGATCTTGCCTAACTTCGAGGACTTGAGTGACTCAACTGTCAACGGTAACCTGTCAATGATCTTTGCACAGTATTAGAGGCGACTTGCAGCCTTGAACATGCGTAACATACGTGAAGTAACGGCATTACAGTGTCAACCAACGGGGTGTCAGACTTGGCGGTGGCAGCGGCTTTTAGCCATTCCCGAGTAATGTCCATAGCCGTGTTATTTTCGGACCAGGCCCGGAAGTAATGATTAGCGGCGTTATCGCGGATCTTGGTTAGGATTTCCATTCGCAGGGCAGGTTCGACCTCCTCAGAACCAAAGTCGTCGATGAGATTAACAAGGTTGTTAATAGCACGCGCACCGCCGAATGCGCTGGGCTGCAGAAGTGGTCTGACGTCAGTAACGAAACTATCCTTTCGAGCCTGGATGTTTATCGTCGGCGATTGTACAGCAACAGCAGCAGTGGAGGTCGCTGTGGTTGCCGTAGAAGTTGAAGGTGTAGATGGCGATTGTGCGTAGAAAGAAGACAATTGTCCGATCATTGTAGAAGTAGGTGAATGAAGAACGTGGGGCGAAAGAGTGCCTTGAGACTGTGATGTGGGTTGATGCTGAGTTAAATGCGAGGAATAAAAATGTGCGGGAAGAACATAGGCAGGATTAATGGATAAAGTAGGATGCTGATATTGATATGGATGTCGTGGTTGGGATTGGGGAGTGGGCTGAGCTACATGAGTTGGAGACTGCGTATATTGTCGGGGCGGTTCCGATCCAGATCCGTTCATAGTTGTCAATGCGGGACTGTAACAAGTGTGTGAATAAAGTGAGCACACGAAGGAGGTAGAACGCACTCGATCATCATGGGCTGCTGGTTCGATGCGGGGGGGGATTGATGTTGAGAAGCGGACTGTTGAGAGGAGGTCGTAGAGGTTGCTCCATTGAGTGTGGAGTAATTCGACAGCGGTAGATGGGTTTGCGGGTTAGTCCAAGACATTGAACCATAAGGTACGGCATTATAGGGACCGGGAACTGAAGACAAGTAGAATGGATTGAATGGACCGCCATAGTACGCAGGTGGTTGAGAGATGGATGAAGACGTTGAAGGTCCTATTACAAGAGAGATAACCATTATTTTAACATTTTTTATACGAGGGCGCTCAACAGCGTGTTTGTAGCACGGGCGCTTATGAATGAGATGCTTACCCGCAAGGTCGCCTATTGTATAGTCGCTCAAATCGAGACTTGACTGCTGCGCAGCTGTTCCAGGAGGACCTCCTGCTCCATTTGTGGGGGACGACTGTTCTTTCCAGTCGTCGGTGGATGGAGTGCCTCCAGTTAAATTCTGCGTCCAGTTTTGCGCATTCGAATACAAATCCATAAGGACTGTTTTCTTCTTTTTCTGCTGCTTCGTTCTCAAGCGTTATTGGGGCAACACTAAACGGCTTATTTCTGTGCAACGAGACGCAGGAAAAGCAGGAAAGAAATGTAGACGGTATACAAGCCTTCTATCACCTTTTTTTGCAGTGTGTTCTACGGCTCAAACTGCCTGAGAGACCTGGCTCAGTTGAGGGTGCGAGTTGTCAGCTTTCGTCGCCACTGCGAACAACCCACATGATCTTGTTTTTTTAGAACTCCGATTTAATAATCGAAATCGGCGACTCGGCAGAAGTAACTAAGGATCGCCGTCAATGTTGTCATTAACGTTTTATGTAGTGAAACATTGTTCCAAGCACAAGAGAACCAAGACAATATCAATCCCAGAGTACTAGTCTAATGATAAGGAAGTGATGTCTTTTTTATCATTAGACGCCATCTACACAAGGTTTGTGACTTTCATTACCTGATTTCCTATTAGTTACAATTGTTTCAATAGGGAACCCTAATAGTTGTCAACAAAACAAAAGTTTATAATTGCTTACAAGAGTCAACAAACTTCGTTGATTTTTCTGAATCCTCCCTTGTCTTTTTCTCACTACCCTCCTTTTCTAATAAATCATGCCACCTAAAGAGCCAAAAGAAGAACTTGACCTTGACCAGAAGAAGGCTCAGGTTTGTATTCTCTAATACGTATTCTGTTCATCGCGTCTGCTCACTCTCGACGCGTTCTCCTATTTAGCTCGCGATCAAGTTCAACAATGCCGCGCGTCAGTTCAGTGCTCTTGCCGAAGTGCTTTCCAAGGCTGTCGCCGAAGTACCTATCGATGAATCCACTGTTAACAACCTCACCGAACTTTTGAACGCGGCAATCACGAAACCGTCGCGTAAGCGTAAACTCGTCGCGCTTGAGATCGGCGAGGATGGTGTCCCCAGAAAGAAGAAGCGCGAAAAGAAAATCAAGGATCCCAATGCACCAAAGGGTCCCGCCTCCGCTTACATCCTGTTCCAAAATGATATTCGTTCTGCGTACAAGAAGGAACATCCAGACATGTCTAACAAGGAGTTGCTAAGACTCATCGGTGACCAGTGGAAGACGTTGGCTGACGACAAAAAGGATGTACGTATATGCCAATCCTATGTACATCATCCTCCGCTCATCCGTATCATCAGTTCTACCGTGATCAGCACGGCAGGGCCAAGAAGAAACACGAAGTTGACCTTGCTGCCTATAACGCCCAACACCCCGACCAAGTTCCTACAGAGGCCAAGGACAGCGGGAAGAAGAAGAAGAAAGACGATGAGGAGTCAGACCATCCTGTAACGAAAGAGGTTGCGAAGGCTGCTCCCAAGACTGCCAAGAAGGCTGCCGCTCCCGTACGCTCTTTCATACCAGTTGTGACCTTTGCTGACGTTGTTGATTAGAAGGTTGGCAAGGTCGTTCCGAAATCTAAAGAGGTTGTTGAAAGTTCGGGATCCGAGGCAGAGGATGCGTCAGAAGTTGAAGCCTCAGATGCGGAATCGTCAGACGATGAACCGGCCCCGAAGGCCAAAGCCAAGGCAACTACAGATGAAGACTCCGAATCCGAATCGGAAGTTGATACCTCTTCCGAGGAAGAGGTTCCTCCGCCTCCGCCTCCCGCAAAGAAGTCCAAAAAATGATGACAAGATTTATTGAGAGTTCTCTGAATCGGTTCTACGTTGGTTATCTTCGTATGATACATATACTTTACTATTTCATCATCAGCAAGCATATGGCTTATTGATTCTTTTGAATACTATACATACTATTCTTCGATGACCCTTCAGGCCATTGGCCGGATGGCATCATGTAGGGCTTACGTATACTGTTATAAACACGGCAATGTCACCCATTACGTGTGACTATGAAACATTGCCAGCGGCTCGCCACTATATAAGTAAGCCGCAATCCTGCTAACGCCATCATCTTCTTTCAACTTTCCTTACCATGTCCTCTCCTCCCCCGAATCCTGATTCAAGGCCTCTTCCGAGAGGCTGGATCGCACAATATAACTGGGAGTATGTCTTTCACAATCTGATAATCCTTCGAAGAGCTCCTGATCATCGTAATCTATAGTTATAAATCATGGTGTGTATCGCGTTCCCGCCAGGCTTCTTGATACCTCTTTATCAATATATGATTATCCGCAATGCAGGTTTTATGTAAATGAGATGGAACAACCTCCTCGATCATCTTGGGAGCATCCCCTAGGCCCTCCCCAATATACTCCTCCCCTCGGACCTCCCCCTCCTGATCGTGGCTTCAGCCGCTCTCCTTATCAAGACGGTTACAACCAGGCTCCCGCTCCAGGTGGCTACACGCCCTCTTACGGTGGCTATGGTGGTGGCTATGGTGGTAATGCACCTTCCAGTGGGTATGGCGGTTATCAGGGCTACCCACCTGCAGGAGATAGAGGAGATAGAGGTAAGATCCCATGGATCATCCGCGATAAATCATAATATCAAACCACTTTGCTAGGTCTCTTTGGCAGAACGTCTTCTCAGCCCCAACAGCCTGTTTATGCGCAGCAGTCGGCTCCTCCGAGGAAGAGCGGTCCGGGGATGGGCACTGCTTTGTTGGCTGGTAAGTTTTGGTCTGCTGTGCGATACTGATCATCTGAATGCCCGGGTCAGGCGGTGCAGGTTTAGTAGGCGGTGCTCTTCTCATGGACGCCTTTGAGGACCATGAAGATAGGGTAGAGGAGCAAGCCTATGACCAAGGTAAGCCTCTCACTATTGGTGTGTCCGGGACATATCTAAATGTCCAGCAGGGTACGACAATGGTTACGATAATAATTGTGACAATGGCGGCGGTGATTTCGGAGGAGGCTGGTAAACGACATGCTTGGTTGGGTAATGCAAATGCACGATTACAGGTTCTTGGCGCCTAATGTGGTAGATTTGTGTTTGTGTATAGTAGTTTGAGGCTTGGATTTATGCAATGGAAGTCCCTTGTGGCGCCACATCAGTGCCATCGTACAGGTTATACGGCATCTGTTACTCTGGCAAAATTAGCACTGGCTATACTTGGTCCACGGGAAGGCCCAAGGATGGCAGAAACTGGGGCCGGCAGAACCCCAGTGTTGCTCTAGAGTATTCGAGACTAGCGGAGATTAGTGATTCGAATCTGATAACACGGTTTGAACATGAGAACTTGCCGTTACGCAAATAGCCAATGGCAGGTCATTCGAAGGTCGCCCCAAGCTTGGCATTGCAAAGCACTGGAAATGGGGCATAAAAAAAACTCGGATGGTCTGCGGGCTTGTAATCAGTCAGTACATAGCTCTATTCGCTGGTGGCCAAGCGGACGGCCTTTCTTGGTGGAAACTCTTTCATTCAATTCCAAAATTCACCCACTCAAGGTCTTTGCTGTGGCGGTCCTCTCAATTATAGGGCATGTAGGGCGCTCATTCTCTGATCTGGGCATAACACAATCCGCGTGATGGATATCTCAGTTGACGCACCCGGCAAAATTTGTGCAAACCTTAACACCACAGGTGACCGTAAAAGCCACAGGGTTTGGGAAGTCCACCCGCCGTCGACATGCTCACATGCGCACAACGTTGGCATTGCTGTCAAGCATCCTTCATGTGGTACCTCTGCTCTCGACCGAGCCTCGTTATGTAGAGATGACCCTCTTGCTGGCCCAGAGTATTTCGTCTAATGACGTTGCTGCTGAATTTACGGCTCTCGAAGAGTTGAAGAGGACTATAAGTCCAGAGCATAATTGATATTAACAAAGAAAACTTTATGCTTTCGAGTTTATTTATATGTGTTACTGTAATATTCACAGCTGCTATTGGACCAAGATTTCAACGGAACGAATGAATGTAGAGTTGCTACAAAGTCACAGATATCGTCACTTCAAGCTGCGCCGAGTCCCGACCGCTATAATGCATCAACAGCTCTGCTTGAATACTGTTTAGTTTGCCTGAGCAAGCTGGTGCAGGGTACCTTGGTTGTGCCGTAATCGTGGCTTCGCCGTGTGCGCGAGGTGGTAGGTTCAGTACTACCATCAATTTACTGTCGTCCATTGGTATCTATGCTGGCGGTCATCGTCGCTTTAAAGAAGAAACTGCAGGAGGGTCTCGGCGAGAATGTCGGAGGTGATCAACTTATGCGGTGCTTGGCTTCGTACTAGTAGCTTCTCGGCGCATGTTAACGTTGATCCATCAGGCCTCAGGTCGGCCCATCAGTCACAGCCTTGATAGGCCCTGCCAGCCTTATTTGACAGGCAAGCACCTGTTATATTCGGAGGTGCCTTGATGTACCTTGCACCGTGTCCAAATGATATAGTACAATGAGTTTTTTTGTCTGCCTGATTTTGTAGTTTCAATCGCCCCCCACTCTGGCTAATGAGCTTTTATACTGGTGTCGTACCTGCAGACGGCCTCTCTGCAGAGACTGGCATAAATTGGTGAGTGATATGAAAGAACTTCTCAGCGGGGTACTTATTCTAAACATCACAATCCATGGTCCAGGTCACTCCAACAGACCCGGACAAATCTCCAGTCTCCTACTAGTGTCAGGGCTACGTCTAACTACGGCAATTATGCAGCACCACTCACTCCTGCGCAAGCATATGCGCGCACTTTTGTCTCTGAACAACCTGTTTTGCAATACACCATCGAGCGCCAGCAGTTAGAGAAACCATCCGATCAACAACCGGGGCTAAATTTGCAGTCTCTAATCGGTGTTTCCGCGCCTACACGCGGTCAATCATACGCTCAGCGTCTGTATGCCAGCTCGTTAAGCACGCAGCCCCAAGCTCAGACCCACCAGCAGCCTACCAGCAGGCAGCCTTCCTTTGAACGTGGAGAATCTTCAAAAAGCCGAGTTCCGGCTGGCCCACGGGCTCCTTATGGTGCCAGAGCGTCTCTCATGCTGAATGCGGATCATACAAACGCTCCTCAAACTATCTCTGCCCTTGATTTCTACCACAACAGCATCCCAATATTTGATCTTCAGTTACCACAGCCGTTACCTGGACGAGGCACCAATTCCCCAGGAGCTCCGCACCCTCAGTCAGCAACAGGTTCCGCTTCACGCATCCCCTTGGCTCATTCCCCAGTTCCTATTCAGGTACCCCACGGCCTGCAAGCACCCAGTAGGCGTAGCCCAGTTCCAGTGGAACCCTCCGATGGGTCTCCGCCATCGCCTGCTGGTGGCCCCCGGCGGTCAAGCCAGGCGAGGTTGCACAGCAGGAACCCACATACAACGCATGTGATACCAGGCGGCTCAACGTCATCAGACATCCCTCTACGGCCTGAGAGCGTGAACAATGCCATAGCTTCACCTGTTCCACCAGAGACACCCCTAAGGGAGTCTAGTTCATACTTGCAGGATTGTTCAAGAGGTGTGGTTGTGACCACTTCTAACCCCAAGTCCGTGACTCGACCTGGTGATTCCTCGCCTGCACCTATACAGATTGAGAGTCTTGGTATCAGCAGTTCTGAAGAAGTACCGTTATATTCCCTCGTTGACGACGAACCTCCTCCCCCAGACTTCGACGAGTCGCAATCCATGTGTAGCGTGATCGGGGAGAGCACATATCACGCTGAATCATCTGTAATACTATCACTCCCTGATGTACCCTCTCCCACACCCCACGAGTCCGATTCTGTATCTGGGGCTGTACCTTCAACAGGTGCAGATGCTCTCTCATTTGTCGGGACCCCTCGCGCACTTTCTCTAGAACCTCTCTCGGGATCTCCGCAAACCTCACTGGCCACAGCAGTAGCGTCATACCCTACGGGAAAAGCACCTGAAGATGTTAAGGAGAAATCGTATGATGACTCTGCCAAGGATTCTATGCCCAAGTTCTCTGAGAGGTCATCATCCATGGAAGCTTTATCGTCATCTCGAACCCCATCCGAGCAGGTGCCTTCATATAGGCAATCTAGGTATAACACCGCTCCTCAGGACATACCGCATCCCTCTAGTTCCCCGCCGGGCCCCCCACACAATTACACCTCTGCGAAGACTTTTTCTACAGCACCACTACCCGCTCTTCCACTGAGGAGTTTTGTGGTTCCTACACCAGCGACTAACACAGCTTCCGCATCCCCACCCATGATGCCTGCATCTCCTCCATTAAGCCCAAGGGTGTCCTGCTGTGAAACCGGCTGAAGTTCAATCAGCTACTTTCTCCTCTCTTCGACCGGGTAGCAGCTACCGACCATCTAACTCATCTCTTCCTCCAAGAGTCAGGGCAGAGCCTACATTCCCTTCATCAGCGGGTACCCCACCTTTCATGGCTGCGTCTGCTGGAATCACCTCGCAGATGTATTATGCAGGTTCTCCTTCACCTCTTTCTTCACCTCCGCTCTCCCAGCGTTTTCGGGGCCCATCAGTGCTATCCGCATCATCAACTGGCAGTCGTCCTGCAGAGTTTAGACCCCAGCTATCTCCAGATGTATCCCCTACACTGCAAGGACAGGCTCCTTACCAATCGCCGCGTGAAACCTTCCAGCCTCCCACAGAGTTCAGACCCCAGCTATCTCCGGCCGTATCCCATACACTGCAAGGATACCCACAGGCTCCTTACCAGTCATCCCAAAGCTTTCAACCACAGGCCTTTCCGCCGCCCCCACCTCAAGATGCAAGAGCAATAACTGCACCTACTCAACCACTTCAATCTAGCAGGAGACTTGGAATAAATATCGCGACAGGTCTCGCGGCGGGAGGTGTTCTTGGTCTGCTTGGCGGGGCTGTGCTCGCTGAGACACTCGATGGTGGCGAAATTGTTGACGATATCACTGGAAGTATGAATGGGATGACGTTTGGAAATCCTGCAGATAGTGTGTTCGACCCCAATATGGGTACTAGTAATATTCTAGGGAACAGATTCGACCCTACGGCGATCTTTCAAGGAAATCAAACGTTCGATGGGGACTCCTTGGGCCAAACATACAACGTGTCTGATCAGACCACAGTGAACGGAGTAGACTTCAGCCAATTCCAAGGACAGATATTTGACGCATCTCAGTTACAGCAGCAGCCAAATAACCAGAGTAATCAAAGCAGCGGCACGCACTATCTGCATGATGCAGGAAAGCTCCTGCAAGCCGCTTACAAGATGTATAACACCTCGCATAAGACTGATGCAACTCAGGGTTCACAGACAACAGCTCCGCCGCAACAAACCTTGGCATCCACGATGTCCGGCATCTCAAATATTGGTCCTAATTCGCCGCCGATAGAACACACACACACAAGTATGTCTATTCCTTTCCATGGGACGTCTGCTGACCACTTTACCGCATCAGGCTACCCCAGCCCGACCCAGCAAACCGGACAACCCATGTACCCCATGGCATCTCAAACCGCTCAACTACCCACTGCCACAGCGTTCTCACAGCATCTTCCTTCTTTCAATCCTGCCTCTCAGCAGGGCACACATTCTCATCATCACGCGTCCTCACATCATCACACATCCTCACATCCTCACCATCACACGTCCTCACAAAGCTTTCATACATCTCACACCCAGAGCCCGTATACGAATCATGTTACTTACCCCTCCTCCGGGGCTGCCACTCATACCATGTACTCGCAGGGTCAGCCAATACCAGCCCAGCATGTTGTGAACCACGGTCACGGCACCGCCCCTCACCACGCTTATTCACCCCAATCCCAGGCGGGACCCTCCGTTCATCCCATACAACATCATGGTCCAGGAAACACGCAACAACAGCCTCCGAATAATAATCTAGACAAAACTATGCTTGCGAAAAAATTCGTCAAGGGCGCGTTGATGGCTGGTGGCGTTCTCGCAAAATATAACCGTCTGAGTGGAGGCAATGGATTTGTGGGAAATTCATGAGATGGCCAAAATAATGGAGGATTTTTGTAGCTGCTAGCCCTATGCTGTTCACCATGCGAATTCTGTACTCGATTATATGATATCATACGTAGCTACTAGTAGTAGTACTAGTCTAAATATTTATCATGTAGTACTTTTCAATTCTGTTGATCAGCTGTTCGCCTATCCTCGCTTTCTTGTCCTGCTCCTAGCTATGCAGCGAATGCGATACACACAATAAGACTTTAACCTTATATTCAGGTCTGCAGATGCTGGATTTTCTGGCCCTCTGACCAGCCTGAGGTCGACCTCACATTCTGTTTATGTAAACTCAGATTCGTCACGTACTCATCTCATTTCGCTCTGCGTGGACGTGCAACCACCGTCCTGACTCCTCCCAATGAAGAGTAAGGCACTATCAAAATTGCTACAGGCACGCGAACGTCCCAATGAACCGTCCGACTCCGACCTTTTCCTAACACCTCACACAATTGTAATAGCGACAACGACAGACCATCCAATACCGACCCTCCTCATAACACATCGGAGTTGCCAAGCTCTAGTGGCCAGAAAAGGTGGGTTTGACCTTGGAAGTGTATCAGATCACTTGCGGATGATGGTTCATGTCCCAGACATGGTTTAGTTCCGTAGGTTTGATGAGACATCCACGACCAACAGCAGAACAGATGATTAGGAATGAAGGACGCTGAACGGGGCAGTCGAACCTTCTCCATCATCGTATTCAGGAAGCTTGAGCCTGTTACGAACTTGAGTGGGTCTGAGTTCCGCGAAGCATGGTGGCAAATATTATCGGTAGGTGTTTTTTCTTTGTGTTCTGGTCACCGCTCATCAACTGCGATTCTAGTTCATCGTATCCTCTGGGAAAATGGTATCTTTCGCTGTGACATCAGCCTCAGCAATCTCGTGTTTTACCGAACCTCGCGCGGTCGTGTGATAGGTGTCCTCAATGACTATGATTTATCATCGATTCAAGATGATTGTCCCAGAGGCAATGACCACAAGGGAACGGTACCGTTCCTATCGATTAGCCTTTTCACCCTACTATCAACCGTCGAAGGCAGCGTCGAGCACGTGTACCGGCACGATGTTGAATCGTTGGTCTGGGTTTCTGTCCGGGACTGTTTTCACTATGAGGATGGCAAGCCTCGCAAGAAGAACAAACCTTTCTGCGAGTGGCTTGGACACGCTTATATGTTGAGCTTAAATGCCACATTTTGATGGTGGCGCGTTATGAGCGCAAGTCTCGGCCTATTACCCAGATCCAACTGGATATTTGCGATCGAACACTATACTTAATCGTATCGCCTTGTTTTATACTGAGCCCAGCTCACAGATGAGGTCACCTTTGAAATGTGGCTGCAGAATCATCGACGCAATATACCACAGACTTGTAACATCTAGCATTTATATTTAAGTTTTCTTCTGCACTCTCTTCCGAGTCACTGTCATGATCACTATGTCTCAGAGTCAGTTTTCTCTACTCCCGTCGGACTCTTGCTCGAACGCATCATTGCGCCGTAGGCAATCATGAGGACTCGGAGGCGCCCATATGATTGTAATATATCCGAAAGGGTCTCATGGCTGCATCAAGCTGCTCTATGACAGTAGGTGGTCACAGTGGGATACATCTTCCCACACACCATCTCTTTTCTACCATGACAACAATATAATGACATTATCGCCTGCTCTTCATCAGTACTACACATAGCACGTGCACGTTGCATTACAACTTGTGATGCAAGCAATTTACAATGTTGACCGTTGTCAATAAACCACCGTTGAATTTCTCTGAGACTCCCGGGCCAGTCGTCCGACTCGGAGTCTTGGACCTGCTACTCGGTTTATAAAACTACAACGTCCGTCACGCGCCAGGTCTTGCCGCATCTTCATCACCCTGGTCAAGGATGTTTTTCACTGCACGATCTGTGGGAGTGAAAATGTCCACTAAAGCCAATTTATTGGCCGTGTCGCAGGTTTTGCTTGCGCTTGAAGTGTTGTCTTCTCCGACGGCCACCGTATCTGCATCCATCGTCAACCTGGGTTATGCCCAGTACCAGGGATCAGTTGACACGGCGACAAACACCACCAGCTTCCTTGGAATACGCTACGCGGCTCCTCCAGTTGGTGCGTTTAGTTATCTTTCTTAAACACAATCTCAGCTCACGCATCAAGCGCATAGGCGACTTAAGATGGGCGGCCCCGCAGCCTCCACCGACCGTTTCTGGGATTCAACAAGCTACCACGCAACCAAACGAATGTAATCAAGCAGCCAGAGGCGATTCTTCGACAAATCCGTTTGAAAGTACCTCTATGAAGAAAAGGGATATCAGCCAATCTGAAGACTGTTTATTCCTGAAGTAAGCCATGTCATTGAATGACGATTTTAGCATTTACGATCAGTGGTTACGTCTGGTAGTGTATACACTCCTGGAAGTGAAGTAGTGCCAACTCCGGGAGGAGGGCTCCCAGTTATCGTTTGGATTCACGGAGGAGGGTATCTCATAGGTGGTGCAAGCCCATTCAATGGCGCAGATTTAATTATAGACTCGAATTATGGTGTTATCACAGTCTTAATTCAGTACCGCCTCGGTTTATTTGGTGTGTTTTTACTGTCTTCTCTCGGTTTCAAATGCATGCTAAGGTGTATACACCGCCAATTAGGTTTTCTTCCAGGGGAAGCGGTCAAGGAAGGGGGTGCACTCAATGCTGGACTACGTACGCGATCATGGTCTGGCAGTCTTTCAGGTCCAGCTGAACTTGATATTTCAAGTCGACCAGAATTATGCCTTACAGTGGGTGCAGGCCTACGTGAGCAGAACTCTTTACTTGCGTGGTGTACCCTAGCTGACAGGAAGCTTACCTGGGTAGATAAGCGCCTTCGGCGGCGACCCCATGAAAGTCACAATTTGGGGAGAGTCCGCTGGTGAGCTATGCTAGGTACTCTTTGTCATCAAATATTGTCTTTATTTACTGCTTTGTTTCAGGTGCCGGATCGGTGCTACAGCATATCGTTGCCCACGGAGGAAACACGCAGCCCCCCCTCTTCAGAATCGCCATGACGAGTTCTACGTTCTTGCCATCCCAATATAATTATAATGACCGGATTCCGGAGGTGAGTTTTGTTCATGAGGACGATGTCCGCAGTCCTGAATACAAATACTAGCTGTTGTATAGTGAGGTCGTCAATGGAACAAAGTAAATTCTTTTGGAACACTGCCAGTCTCTATCTAATTCTTTATGTGGCAGCTGTACCTCGAGCTCGGATACCCTCTCTTGTTTGCGCGCTGCAGACGTCAATACGCTGCAGACCTTGAACTATAACATCAACCTCAATGGATTCTTTGGCACGTATGTATTCGTCCCTGTTGTGGACGGCACTTTCATCTTGGAGAGGCCTACTGTGACGATAAGGAAAGGTCGTTTGAATGGTGTACGATCTATGAATGCCTCTAACTCGAAGACAAACTGAGGCCCTCTTTCTACCAGAACTATCTGCTTGCTATGACCAATTCACATGAGGGGAACAGTTTTGTCAACCAATCGACGACATTGGATGTTGCAGATTATGTCAAGACGCTTTTCCCGAACATCGGTTTTGCTCAGGCTGCTGGAGTGGTGATGATGTACCAGAACTACGGAAGTAACGTCAACCGGGCAGATCTTGTGATGGGTGAATGTATGTATATTTTTGAAGGAATGATCGCTGTCCCTGATTTCATGGATCGTCTCAGCAATATTCGTTTGCCCCACCTATTATCTCCTCTCAGCATTTGGAGAACGAGCTTGGAAAGTGAGTTCGAGGTAACTCGCAACTCAATTATACTCAATATACGCAGGGCGAGTTTGCAATCCAGCCCGGCCTGCATGGAAATGACGTTGCATACTACTTCACCTCATTTTCGTAAGTTGAAGCAACGAGTCTATTACTCTGAATGTAAACTGTTTCAGGGGTGGTCCTGCATACAACAATTCGCAGTTCATCACTGCTTTCTCGAATTCATTCATGGCTATGGCCATGTCTGAGACTCCTGATGATAGATACACCCCAGGAGATATCACACCCTCCTGGAGACCTTGGCGATCTGATTTGACAGAGATGATGTTCAACGAGACATCTGCGGGAGCACCTGACATTTACACTTTCAAGACCGATAGTGCCTTGCTGGAGCGTTGCGCGTGAGTACCATATTTGTGATGAGCCAATGTGCCCAGCTGAAGGCATCTACTAGCTACTGGCAAGACGTGTCGGCATATTCAGCGCAGTGAATGGAAGTTGAGGTAACTGCATGAGTTGAATAATCCCACGTATATCTGTCCAGCAGCTCAGTCACAAATACTTTCTGGTCGTAGGATCACTGCGACGAGACTTTTGCATTAATTAGAAGGTCCATTGGATCATATCAGTTTGCAACAACTGCCACCATTCTCAGTATGCATAACGGCCTGCCCAGTGCCGATGATGTCAGATCTTTCAGCCTGAGTACAGTCAATGTTAGGCCTTCCCAAGACGATCCTGCCACACTCAATTGGCTGGCTGCGTGGCACAGCCACCCGCGGACAACTCAAGTTGCCGGCTAAATTGCAATGTTGCCTCGATATATGATTTCAAGTCATCTCTGTCATGGCCCATATCAGACCATTTGGTCCACTCGCTGTTTGTCCAGTAGAAATCACTGCCAACATCTCCTCGTAGTATCTGGCTTCTTCGCCTCTGGATAAAAACCGTCAATGACGAATTCTAATTGTTGTTCTAAAATGCCCCGCTGCAGACATCGTCCACATCAGTTGTCAGTGGGGGAGAGACTAGGAAACACTGAGCACAATGCACATGCACACAAAATTCACTTCATGACGACATTTCATTTCACCCCTTCACATGACCTCCTGCACACTAAGCTCAAGGCAACGAAGGAAGACGATAGTTGTAATGAGGTATGCAGTGTCCATGGTATACTGTATAATCATTGCAAGGATCGATGAAGTATAGGTGAGCAGACGAGAAAGTCTGGGAGTAGGTTGAGAAAGAGACGAGTGACGCGGGTTCCATCTGATTTCAAGAACTCCAGGGCGGGGAGGAAGCGTACGGGTAAATGCATGATTCTGCCGACCAATATTTCAGGGGGGAGACTTCGAGTACTATCGACCTCTCTGAGGCGTCAGTCGATAGGGGATTCTGCTGCTGGTTATACAATATCAGCGGTCCCCAGATCTCGGATCGAAAAATGTGCTCCTAGTAGTAGTTATCTGACATTATTCAATTAGCTCAAAGTATCATACGTACTATTGTATTCTCTGAGTTCGAAAACTTGTGACACCCGCTTCCTTGTTTCTGACACAAATCTTGGCCAATTCCGAACAGTGGCTCAACTAGGCTACCCTTGTTTAGCAAGGTGCACATTTGAGAGCCAGGGAACGTGAGCACACATCCATCAGTGTTTGCACTGGTGCTCGTTGTCGGGATGGCTTCGAAAAGAATATGGCCAGGTGGCTGAGAGTCGTCATTAATATTATCCTGGCAGGTGTACGCGCTTGTGGCTACAATGCACGTGTCCACGTGACACCACCGAAAGACAAATTAAATAATTAAGTTACATAGGGTTTCCCGCGAGTCGCCGAAGTTTTTTTCTCTGTCGCGACAGGATTGGCCTTTGTTTCCGTTCTCCCACCTTAACACTGCTATCATGGTCAGTACGAGAAGAAATGGCGCTCGCAATGTTCGGACGCCTGCAACCACAACCACAGGTACTTCAAGCACATCTATGTCTCCCTTGGTTAGCGGCAAGAATTCTGCGGTACCTGAAACCCCTGACACTTCCGACGTCGATGAAGATCCAGTTGTCACGAAAGTCACGACAAGATCACTTGCAACAAGCCTTATGAAAACACGGAAGCGCTCTGCAGAAGATGAAGGCGAAGACTTCGAGGGTAGACCAGTCCCAACTAAACGGAAAGTCGCCCACAAAGCTTTTTGTGTTGAGATACCCATCAAAAATTCGACCTTGAACTCAAAGGCGAGAACGCAGTCTTTAGTTCCGCCCAGCCGCATACTAAGTACTATCAATGTACAGCAACAACCAACACCTGTCAAAAGCAAAGGGCGAGTTAGCGTCCCTTCTACCTCCCATAATAAGGATGTCCAGCTTCTCTCAGAGGATGAGGACCTCGAAGACATTGAATCCAGTGATTCGGAGTATTACGAGTCGGATGACGATGCCCCTCTCCCCTCAAAGAACTGGGAACAGTTATCTGACATCGTCTCGGGTTCTGAGGGCAACGAGTCAGAAGGTGACGAAGAGTTGATGGTTGCTGCTGCCATTGAGTTGTCCCGTGAAACAGCACGATTCGCTGTTCAAGAATCCTCAGGTGTCGGTTCTTCCTCCAAAGCCAACATTACGTCAACAAGCCTCAAGATTACCAAGAAGGCTGCTGCTGCTGAACGTCGCCTTACAAGGTCCGCGGGCAAGGCAAAAGGCAAAGGTCGTTCTGCTGGCAGTGAAGATGACAATTTCATACTCGAAGACAGTGAATCGGCACTATCAGTCTTGAGCTCAAGCGAAGAGGAACTTCCACTCTCCAAGGGTAAGGGGAAAGCCACGAAGAGGGGTAAAGCAAAGCTAAAGTTCATCGACACCGAACCCATGACTTGGGTGGAGCGAGCTCAGCGGCGCCGCCTGCAAGCGGCCGAAAGGAGGGTCAACAAATTGGAGGAACGCGCATTAATGCAAGAGCTTGGCCGAAAGCTTACCTGGGTACGGCGACCTTTTTCTGCTCGAATATTTACTTTAATTATCAGCACAGGCCGAGAAATCTTCTTTGGCACTCAAAAAGCATCACCCTGAACTCAGGGATGTCTGGGGTGACGTCGAGTCCAGCATCCCCATCGTTGTACCGGAGAGAGCTGCGCAGCCTGCTGGTTTAAAGGTCACGTTACTTCCATTCCAGCAGGAATCACTCTTCTGGATGCGTAAGCAAGAGCAGGGGATCTGGCATGGCGGCATGCTAGCCGACGAGATGGGGTAGGTTTCTTAAAATTTCAGTATGTACAAGATCGAATGTGTTCTTTGCAGCATGGGTAAGACTATTCAGATGATATCCCTCTTTGTGTCAGACCTGAAGCGTCCGAACCTTGTCGTCGCGTATGTTTTCACCATTCGGTTATGTTGCCATATCCTAACCACATGCTACACAGGCCAACTGTTGCTATAATGCAATGGCGCAATGAGATTAACGCTCACACAGAGGGGATGAATGTCTTGGTGTGGCATGGCGCGTCTCGTGTCAACAACCCCAAGGAATTGGAGAAATACGATGTTGTTAGTTCCAACTTCAGAACCCTCCATGCTCTCGTCTCAATATTAATGCAACTCAGGTCCTCACTACTTACGCTGTCATGGAGAGTTGCTTCAGGAAGCAGCAGAGCGGTTTTAAGCGAAAGGGGCTTATTGTGAAGGAACCTTCGCCTCTTCACCAGATTCAATGGAACCGGATCATTGTACGATCAAGCTCGTTTCGATAACTTTACCATTGCTGATGGTTTTTTTTGACAGCTTGACGAAGCGCACAACATTAAGGAACGTCAAACCAATACTGCCAAGGCATCCTTTGAGCTCCAGAGCAATTACAAATGGTGTCTATCCGGCACGCCTTTGCAGAATCGTGTGGGAGAGCTCTACAGTCTAGTTCGTTTCCTCGGGGGTGATCCATTCTCCTTTTATTTCTGTGCGTCATGCGTCTCCGCATTCGTCATTTGAGTCATTGATCTGGTTTTCTGATAGGTAAGAAATGTGAGTGCAAATCGCTTCATTGGAAGTTTACAGATAAAAAGCACTGTGATGGTAAGATTTTGTTCCCCAACTCCCGGTGCCCATTTGATATATCTTACAATAGATTGTGGTCACAGCCCAATGCAACACGTAAATCGTCATCACTATCTGTAAACTCAGCTAATTAGTGTCATTCAGACCTGCTTCTGGAATAACGAGATCTTGACACCTATTCAGAAACACGGCATCGAGGGCCCGGGAAGGATTGCTTTCAAGAAGCTACGCATCCTCCTTGATCGAATGATGCTCCGTAGAACAAAGGTCGAATTTATCCTTTTATTCACGTGTTCGAAATTCAATCGCTACCGTAGATTCAACGAGCTGATGACTTGGACTTGCCCCCTCGTATGGTGATCGTGCGACGAGACTACTTCAGTCCCGAAGAGAAAGAGCTTTATCTTTCGCTCTTCTTAGACGCGAAACGCCAGTTCAGTACCTACGTTGACTCTGGAACGGTTTTGAATAGTGAGGTCACCTTTTCTGAAAGTCAGATCCAACTGTTAACGCTAATCCATCAGACTATTCCAATATCTTCAGTTTGTAAGCCTTTCGCGCTCTTACCCATATGATTCTGAAGTTCCTGTAGGCTCATTCGTATGAGGCAAATGGCCTGCCACCCAGACCTTGTCCTCCGCAGTAAGACTAATGGGACTCAGTTCTTGGGTTCTGACGAGGCTGGTGAAGCCACGATCTGTAGACTCTGCAGTGATGTCGCGGAGGATGCCATTCAGGCCAAATGCCGCCACATCTTCGACCGGGAGTGCATGAAACAGTATCTGAGCACAGCCGGAGACATAACAGTCAGTTTTTTCCTATCAACATTTTTTGGGTCCTGAATTTCTTTAAGCCCGACTGTCCTGTTTGCCACATCGCTCTTACCATCGACCTCGAGGCTCCGGCGCTCGAACTTGAAGCAAATATTCCTTCTGCACGACAAGGAATCTTGGGGCGACTCAATATAGAGACTTGGCGGTCTTCCTCCAAGATCGAGGCACTTGTCGAGGAACTTTCCAATCTTCGCTTGCAAGACAACACGATTAAAAGTATCGTGTTTAGTCAATTTGTCAACTTTTTAGATTTGATCGCCTTCAGGCTACAAAAGGCAGGCTTTTCGGTGCGCATGGATCTGGGAATTTTACTGAATGAAACGCTGACACCAAAATCCCTGATAGATTTGTCGACTTGAAGGGACCATGAGTCCTCAGGCACGCGATGCGACCATTCAACACTTCAGTATGTCGGACGATCGTCTATCAGTTGTGTTTTTTACAGTAACGTGCTTCCTTAGTGAAAAATGTTGGCGTTACTGTATTTCTTGTCAGCTTGAAAGCTGGTGGAGTGGCATTGAACTTGACCGAAGCATCTCGAGTGTATCTGATGGACAGTTGGTGGAATCCTGCGGCAAGTTTTCTATGTCTATCTCTCACATCCTCAGCTGATTACTGTTGTTCTAGGTTGAATACCGTACGCGAATTGACTAGATGTAACTGTGACACTTGCTGATTTCCACTACAGAAGCTATGGACCGTATTCACCGTCTCGGACAGTACCGTCCTGTCCAGGCTATCAAGCTCGTCGCTGAAGATAGCATCGAGAGACGAATCGTACAATTGCAGGAGAAGAAATCAGCGATGGTGGATGCCACGCTGTCTACTGATGAATCTGTGAGTATTTGTGGTTGGTGGCTGACACAAATATGAGAGCTGACTACGACCTAGGCGATGGGACGACTGACGCCAGACGATGTAGGTGCTGAAATTCTGTCCCATGACATACGGCTGATTGAACTTTTGTAATCTAGCTTGGTTTCTTGTTCAGAGTACGTCCACATTTTCTTGACGCACTCAAATCTGCTGACCTTTGGTATGCTAACAGCTGTAGCTTATTATTGTTTTTAAAAACATACTGTAAAATATATGCCCTGCCTTTCTAGGCAGTAGAATACGCTGTCATTCCTAATTCTACATGGAATATATCTGTTTCACGGGCGCCCGCTGATTTTTTCAGCAATTCTTGTTACAGACCTTAATGTTGAAGATCCGGGATCCTTGGCCTATAGGAAACTTTCGACGCCATGACCTTTGTCTAATAGAGTCAAAGTACCGATGGGACCATCTCTGCATATGAACCACGGCAGACCTAGTGCATGCGAGGTTTATTTCTCATAGTACGACACAAGAATGCGCTAGACTTGATCAAAGCTGAGATGGTTCAAATCATGCAGGCGTCAATGTTGATTTGGTTAGCACGTGATCTGGACGTGTGGCATGACGTGACGCGTCTGTCCGTCAACTTCCTCCTTATAGTTCTCCTCATCTCACCGCCCTCGCGAATGACGGTCCAAATCGCGAGTATCGGACTCCAATTCTCTGTGAACTTGAGGCTGACCGGAAGCTGACACTAGCGGGCGCGTCCTTACCTGTCAGCATCATCAACTTACTCAACTTACGCCGGCTCATGCTCATGCCCATGACACGTTATGACGTAGGCCAGCCAGTATTGATTACGGGAGGCTGACTCTCCCAAAAGTATAAATGCCTGCCCGCCCAGGCTTCCTCTTCTTTATCAGCTTGACCTCCCTCGAGTGCCAACGATTCTTCATCGTCACATCTGACCCTTATTGCGTGTCACGGACGATTATCTCTCGTTGTCTTTGTCACTGATCGGATTGAATTCTTTATTCTCAGTTTCTTACTCTCTCTCGCTATCCTGCTGTCTCGCCGGCTCGCTTTCTCGTCTTGCTCTATCGTCGTCTTGTCTTCCGTCTCGCCGTCTCGTTCTCGCCGTCTCGTTGTCGCCGTCTCGTTGTCGCCGTCTCGCTCTCTCGCCGTCTTGCTCTCGTTATCTTGCTTTCGTTGTCTTGCTCTCGCCGTTTCGCTCACTGGTATCCAACGTCGCGCGCCGTTGGTAAAGCAATGTCAACTCTTCAAAGTGCGTTACCGCCCTACGCCAACAGAACATTCTTCTTATCATCTATCTTTCCAGAATATCGAAAAGCACAACGTCGGCCACGTTGATAAAAAAAACTTTACTGTCTCTCGAACCTCGCCCTCGCCGGCCTTGTCTCTATCTCAATTAGGGACCTGCGCACTCACCCGTCACATCCCTACAGCCAACCTCCTCCCTCCCGTCCATCTAGCTAGGCTAATCCACCCATTTCACGTCGGACACTACAAGCATAATGAATGACGTGCGATGGCTCTGTATTCAAGCTCGATACTGTGGCACCAGTAAGTCTCATCTTTCTCGATTTCTCCGAGCCTTAGTGCAACTACCATCATTCCTTTAGGCTGACCGCAGTTGCTCTTTTCACTGGGTGACAGATGCGTCACCATCTCTGTTTCCGCTGAACATCAGCTCAAGCCTGTCGTCCAACAGCCGTCGCTCTTTCTACCAGATCACGGATGCGCCTTCCTTCTCACAGTTCTTCTTTCTTTCTTATCCATCGTCCAACTCATGCCACTCCTTCATATACCCATTTCACCTTTCTCTTTCCTTCTCAGCTATCGTTCAGCCTATGTCACTCCTTCATATACCCTTTTCACCTTTCACTTTCTTTCTCATCCACCGTTCAGCCTATGTCACTCATTATATACCCTTTTCACTTTCTTTCTCATCCATCGTCCAGCCTATGTCACTCCTTCCTATACCCTTTTCACCTTTCTCTTTCCTTCTCATCGTCCAGCCTATGTCGCTCCTTCATCTACCCTTTCCACCTTTCTCTTTCCTTCTCCGCTTCATATACCCTCTTCATCCTTCTTTCCCAATTCTCTCTTCATATTTATTGTTCGACCCACGTCACTCCTTCATATACCCTTTTCACCTTTTTCTTGGCCCTCCGACATCTATCCCTTCCTCAATCCTCAAGTCCACCAGCCGCTCTTGCCCTCTACCTCCCCCTTTCGCGCACCATGGTTCACTCGCAGCTCCATGCCTAGTCTTTCGACATCTTGCGTTTCTTCTCTGCCCCGGGGGCTTACACCTATTCGTGCGTACTACGGTCTACACGCAACTTCATACCTATTCTATGATTACGACCTTTTCTCTGCCCAGACACCGGAAATGCCTATGCCTCATGACTTTACGACTTTACGACCTCATGACCTTATGACTTTACGACTTCATGATACCCCCCATGCCACTTTTCCTTTAGTTTTTATGCCACGCCACTATTTCTATGCCTTATGCCCTATGCCCTAAGCCCTATGCCCCATGCCTTATGCCTTATGCCACTTTTTCCTTTTGCCATACTATGCCCTGTCTGTATACGAAAACAAGACTTGAAATTTAAATCTGTGCGCTTTAACATCAGGGTGCCGCGTCAAAGCTACATATTCCAATAGTCTTCGTCTTTCTAACTGCGGAACACCTAGTCTAGTTCATAACATGCCGTTTGGACTCGAGAAGTTTGCAAGAAGTTAGAAACACGTTTATATGTAGATTGATTGACTCAAGGAGCTCAACGAGAGCAAGCGTTTCGTCCTGGGTATACAATCCTGAAACAAGAGCAACGGTCTCTGCTTCTCATATGCCAACCACCGAAGTTTCATCACTAACAAAGACGCAAGCAAATAGGCCCATCATCACACAGTGCTAAATAGCATGTTAAGGGCAGTGTGCATGATCGTAGGGCATATGCGGATGCATACAAGTATTTTGAGGGATGTATGGGGTCGTAAAGCATAGCGAGTGATATGTAGAAAAAAAACATCCGACCTCTTAGACCTCCTTGACCTTGACGGTACCGCGTAGCAGACCAGTCTACCAAAATCATTCAGCATGCACAGAAATGGAAGCAAGCTACAAAATAGACATACCCGGCGAGCGGCAATAAGACCGACTTTCTGTCCAGGAACCGCAGAGCGAGGAACTGTCGAGGCTTTTCCGATGTGCTGGTGGTTACCACCACCGTGAGGATGGTCGACGGGGTTCATAGCAACACCACGAGTACGAGGCCAGCTGTAAGTTTTGTGAGTAACGAAATAACACAATTATCATTGTTGACCCACCTGTTGCGCTTAGCCTTGTATTTATGATATGCGCGACCAGCCTTAAGCAATGGCTTATCGATACGTCCACCACCAGCAACGATTCCAACAGTGGCCCGTGCACCCCCAGACACAGTCTTCTTCGCACCACTAGGCAGACGAATACGGGTCTTGTTGTCCTCTGGCGAGTGGCCAATGACGGTTGCGTAGTTGCCAGACGTACGAGCGAGAGCACCACGGTCGCCAACTTTCTCCTCGACGTTGCAGACGATGGTACCTTCTGGGCATTGGCTCACGGGAAGGACGTTACCGACAGTAAGGGCGGCCTTCTTTCCGCAGTACACGAATGAGCCGGTGTGCATGCCTTCCGTGGCAATGAAGGTCTCCTTGCGGAGCTTGTAGCGGTAGGGGTCACGGAATACGACGCGTGCGAGGGGTGCGCCGCTAGAATGCATATGAGGAAAATAATGGATTGGAGCGTTTGATCCTTACCGGCCGGGATCGTGAATGATTTCTTTGACAATACCCCGGACGTAGCCATTGCGTTCGGCGAAATCGAGCGTACGAAGCTTGGCGGGGGCCTTGTTGTGGTGGGTGTGTGCTTTGAACTACATTAAATGACAAGGGCGTAAAGATCTGGGTAGGTAATAAGTAGGGAAACATACGATGGCATGCGAGCGCCTCTGAGCCCTGATAACCCTACCCATGGTTTATCTGTAAAAAGTGATAAGCTGAGTGTCTGATGCGGGGTATCCGATGCAAGTGCAAGCCATCCAGCCGTCTCCGCATCGATTTCGACGTAATTTTTGGCCAGAGTGAACTGAACACATATTTGGACTCATGCGTTGCAACCCAGAGCAGTGATTCGTGCGGCATACTCACATTATTATGTCTTGAGGACTCGGTGTAGGCTGTGGGCGTTGGCGTGTAGTGCACTGAAGCCGTTGTCCAATCGGCGCCACAAATACCGGCATTTTCCGGCAGATGGGAGACGTGCCAAGTAGATCTGCGACCCCCCTCTAGCTACAAATAATCTTCGAGGCTTACCGCTTCCTGCGTCGTGGTTAAACATTGAACGTTGAGCGTCGAACGTTGAGCGCTGAGCCGTGAGCGTTTGAGCTTGGTTTGAGCTGTGAAACACTCGCACAAATCAAACAATTGCATTACTAGATCATCAATAGTGACTATAGTAGTAGTAGTAGAAATTGGGGGGCGCATTTAGTTTTGCATGGTATAACTAGTTGTCGACATGTATATGACATACGTAATGCTTCTCCCATAAAGTTTCACGACCAGAGTGCTCACCGCCTTCGCAGCATTCTCAAAGTTGGAGTCATGGGCTAAAAACCTATCGAGTCCTCCAAGATAAATTATGATAGATCGTACTTTTATACAGGCTAGTTATCAAATACAAGATTTATATATATATTGTGGACATAGTTACACAAAAAATTGGGCCCTGGACGACTTGCTCCCACTTCGGAAATATCAGAGGCAGTCCATGTCGTGCTGCTCCGATGCCTGTGGCGGAGCCCAACAGATACAATCCTCGAATGTCGTACTGACATGTACACAGTTTTCATTGGCATGCGTTTCCCAGATGCTGATGATAAGACGTGGCACAATAATAAATGGCGCGGTACCGATGAACAACTGTGCGAGATACATCATCGCCGTCTGTGCATGCCTGCATTAGAGCAGATTTCTCTAGGATCACAGAAGATCATACCGGAAGGTTGGCCCACAATATCGCCATGAAGATTTGAGTTGCCAAATTTCTAGCATGACTCAATGAATGTTTTCAGAGAACACACCAAACGAATGGGAACTCACAGGACAAAGTATATGACATGATATCGGACAATCATGACTACATAGGCATTAGGCTTCATTCTAAGTTCATTTCGTTCCTTCAGGTGCTTCCCGAGGACGGCGACGGCGAGGACAAGCAGGAATATATCATAGCATATGATAGGGATGGAAACATATATCGCAGGCATGGGCCCAATATGGAAGATACCCGTGCAGTACTTGATGTTTGGAGTTATTATTATTTCATGCACTATACACCAAGAATCAGCTTGTAAACAGAATTCGATCAAAGTAGAAATTCACTCGAGATTGATGAGGGTCGACCCCATAAAAATACATCTAACGCTATATAGAGCGCGACGACTGGTAGGAACAACCCAAGTAGAACATAAAGTATGGGCTTGGATCGGTTGTATAGGGCGTAAAGACGCAAGATGAGAATCACTGCAAATGCAAAATGGGTACGCGTAGAGATGCGAGAATGTATGTAGATGACTTACGTTCCGCCAAGCAAAAATATACAGAAAAACTCCATTCGAAGTACAGAAACATTGCATAACCTATTTCAATTTTGTGATAGGCAAAATTAGCTTCAGTTTAATACTGATATACACTCACAACTAAACAAGGAAGTCAGCAGCATATCAGGCCTAGCTGTAAAACGAAATTCTGACGTACGGCTGAATCTGGGTCAACCTAGAACTATCTCAAGAAAGAATCGATACACTCACTGTTTCAGGTATATAAAATAAACCTCCCCCTAGGGCTGGGTCAGATAATGAGGGCTCAGTTAGCTTCACGTCACATACAGCAGGCGCAAGTCCTAGACATCAGTGTCAACATACAGAGTACTAGTATCTGAAGGATATAACTGCGGCGACGTACATTGCAATCGAAATACCAAAATATCGAACCTAATAGCAACAAAAATGGGGAACAACGAAGCACTTTGGCATGGTGGAACTCACAGCAAGGTACATATATGTCATTATTGACCGCTGTCTTTGCTAGATACCAGTCAGTTCCAGATCTTGATAACGTCGGGGTTGAGCTCTAACCCAAACGAATGTGACCTGCAATAATATTATCATGAGTACTCGACGATAATAAACCGACCTCGTTACCTCTTTCTCGAACTGAAGCACTAGTAGATAACATTATGCTTAGCTGCATTGGAAGGTTCATGGAAGCTACTGACTGTAGTCATAAGATACCAGGGTAATGATTGCAACTGGAAAACGATGAAGTTCAGCACAACGATTCGTTTCCAACAAGACTGTCAAACCTGATATGTTGTTATTCCAATTGAGAGCATAGAGAGATTCTTCTAGTCCCGACATGAAACTGTGCTGATCAAGTGGGAAGTTCAAAAGCGAGGGATGGGCTGTTGATCACCAACGTACAATACTTATAGGGTAGACTGTCGGAATCTCGTTAACTCGTAAGGGTTGTGAATGTCCTAAGGATAATTGTGTGACATCACCCATGTCGAGCTTGCGCCGCACTTCTCCATTTGATAATATGAATCGCTGTCCTCGATAATTTACTACCAACGGAAAGGTCGCGAGTCACATATTGATGATGTCGATGAAGGGTCACCCTGCGTCACCACTGGCAGTATTCTTGGGTTAGATTCCACCTGTCCGACCCTAGGCTTGTTTAGATAGCAAAGGCGGTGCTTATCTCCCTTGACATGGCTGGAAAACATCCCACCATCATTCATATAACCTTGACAAGCAAGTAAATGATCTAAGATTGAACCTCGAAATAAGTGAATCGTTGCAGGCCCTTGATTAAGGTGTTGTCAAACGTCTGTACGGCAAAATGATCTTTTGGGTTACAATGTCTTCGAGGAAGTTTAACTAGCCATTTTGAGAACATAAGCAACTTGACTACTTTCGGAACAGCAATCATGATTTGGCTCTCAAGGTGAGAGTCGCGCAGGGTCCAAGGGAGCGGCAATGGGGAGGGAGAGGGTGGACTCGGTAGAGTCACGAGCCATGACTCTGTATCTGGTCCTCTGGAATAAATCATGCTATGTTGCACTACCAGACAAAGTATGAACATACATAATCGGCCTTGATCTACCTACTCGAAGCAGTAGGTCAGACAGCTCTGCCAGGCTGGAGTTTGAATAAGAGACAGTGCAAAAGGAAAATCTCCTCAACCTTACATAAGCTAAACAACCTTAATGTACAGCCACTCTAAGTTAGACTGGTGACCAGCCCCTCTATGAGGCAAGCCGTCGATAAGAGGGACTGGTAAAACTGGGTTTGAATTCGGGTACTGAGCGGATTCCCAAGGTAACGTGACGGATAATCCTTTTTGGAGATATCGGAGACCACGTGAAGTTTTGCTAAGTTTTCGTTAAGTCCTAACTTAGTCTTGTATATATCAGTGTCACCATCCGACTTGACGTCGACAGTCGAGCGCGCTAACAGCTGCTGGGCAGTTTCGTTCACTGCTTCCATTGCTCTTTCTGTGTATCTATTGCTTTATGTTATTACTCTTGCTTGTTCTATAACTCCTGGACCAGTCAGACTCGGACCCTTCACTCAAGATGCAAGGCTCTGAGGCTTCGATGATTCTCGACGGTGACTTGAATTGTTCATTCGACTCTGATTTCATGGACATCACTATGGGTACAGCTTCTCCACGACTCTCACGGCATGAGCACATCAAAACTGCTATCAAGATTCTCCAAGACGGGCGCATATCCATTCTTGACTTTATGTCTACGATCCTGGATCCTTCACAGCTTGATTTTGCTGTCAATCATGACTGAATATACTACTCTTCAAAGGAGGAGAAGGAAAATCTCAAGGATGAGTCCTCACGAGGGAAACTGGAACAGGTGTTGGACCATATGTTTGCCTGATGCACAAGGGCGCTCTCGACTGCTGAACTGGTTTCACCCCCATGTTGTCACTTATGTCTATGAAACTGTCAATGCCAAAATGGATGCTGTGAAGGAAGATCTTCGGGGAACGCTTGACTCCGTCACTCCAGAATTCTTGTCAACATGGGACCTTAATTCGATGATGCAAGACACTGGTTGTACCCAAAGTGCCAGTCCTGCAATCTATCCTGCATTGTGCTGCTCAGATGGATCATGCTGTGGCCAAGAACAAGATAGAAGATTGCAGTACTGTATGGTACATTACATTTTCTGATGTTTATGTATCTTTCATTAATGAACATATTTCTTGTGTCAAAGGTGTGTAACGTGATTATCACCCAACTCAGCATCTCAGCGCTCGCATCATAGCCTTTTCCTTGCTGCTCCATTTACTCTCTTTCTCTGGATGAATGGTGCATCCAGGCAAACCATCGAAGCCCTGTACAAATGCAGGCCTTTGCATTTCAGTTTACATCCCTCCTTATGCTGCTCGAGAAGCTTGCTGCATGGTGCCTCGAACATGCAGGACAGCTTGTCCAGCAGCCACATGTGATGTGCTATGACAACATAAATATAAGCACATCCATCTTTGTTGAACAGCGACCTGATGCTCCAGCAAAGGTTCAGTCAGGAACCTTTGCTGTTCTTTATGAAGTTCGCAATGGGAATCCAGATTATATGCACCTCTCGCCAATGTTGAACTGTGCCCTCCATGCTACTGAAATCTTGTTCAGCTCTGATGTTCGTCCAACCTTCGATCAGATGCATTCATTCCAATATCAACTTCACATTCATGTTATTGAAATTCTCCTTGACAACTGCTCGAACTTTTTGGATTACTGATCAGTCAACACTATGTCATGGTGAACGTCACAAAATGCCTCGAGGTTATCGGACGAAACAATTTCCCTTGCATACCTTGACTATCGACGAAAGTTCCATCACAGGGAATATTGCAGTCATAAACGATGTCTACATAAATCAACTGCAGATGAAACATCATGAATTATCAGATCGAGCCATTCCTAGTTTCAACGACCAGTCTATCAATGCTCGCATTTGAGGAGTGAAAACTCTATGGGTGAAAGACATCAATCCCTTCACTCGTCTTCAAGTCATTCAACTTGGATTTGGCCTGTTCCACCTCTGTCTTAATCTTGTCTGGGCACTCCTCCATGTTCATCGAGGATCTATTCATCAAATTGGTAGCCTCTCATATTTCTTCACTCTACTCGATTGAACATGACTTGGATGTGAACACCTGGACTATCACACACTTCTTGCAACACTGATGCAGATTCTACAAGGCATTATCGTGAATGCTTGGCGGAAGGAGTGCGGGCATTTTTCATTAGCTGTCTTTGCTTCTTCAGACCCTACTGCTGACAAACTTCTTGAGATCACAGACAAGATTCTCATTACACACGCTACACCCATTCATGAGCCATCCAAGAAGAAACGAAACCATGCAACTCTATTTGAGGATTCTGAACCCACAGACATGGCTCACCATAACCTGCAGCTTCTTACCCGTGATCTTCTCTACGTTCTGGAGCTAACCAGTGCCATCTCACACGGTGACTGGGGCCGCATTGAAGATATCCTTGGAAACTTAGCAATGATATTCCATGGAGCCGGGTCAAATAACTACTGCTCTGAAATCCTTCATTTTCTCTTTAACCTTAAGAAAATCTGGACTCCTGAATTTGCATGCGATTTCATTTTCACTTTTAGATTATTTTGATGTTTTTAACATTATACTATTTCAACAGGGACATTATGTGAGACAATGCACTTGTCAACCTGACTGGCCTTGGGAAGGACCACCTCCGACACTCCACGTGAAATTGGCTGCAACAAATTGAGAGCATGACACAAATGAGCCAGAACACATACCTGAACAATTGAGTCTTCATCATCTTCCGACTCCACAAATGGCTTTGACTTGACACACTTGCGACCCTTCATTGCCAACTTCGGAGGTTGGGAGGAGTGTCCCGAAATCATGGGGGACTTCCTCTTGTTGGTCCCTCCGACTTCTGGCTCCAGGTCAACAGAAATGGCCCTACCTTTTCCTTTGTTCTGGAACTCGGGGGTCGTCTTGCTGGAAGGTCTGGCGACATTGCCGGCGACGACCAGAGGCGAGGGAATGACAGGGGCGGGGGAAGGAACAGGTGCGGGGGAAGGCACAGGTGGAGACAGAAGGTTGACGGTCAGTAGGCCAGTGGAAGGATTAGGAACAACAGGGAGATCACAGGAATTGTCACCCAACGCCTCCCATGAACAGACCTGTTTGCGCCAGGTGTGTCTAGCCACCCAGGGGTCATCATGGCCAATGCTGTGCCAGTTGGGCAATGCCTGGGGAGTCATGGAATGCACCCTCATGAGCTCCCTGGAGCAGGAAGCCACAATGCCAGGGATGTATTCCCCTTTCTCATGGGCCCAGATGATGTCAGCCTACCCGGATATTAGAAACATACATAAATGGTAAACTAATTTGATGAGTGCAACTTACCAACAGAGTGGTGACCTGTCTTGTCAGAGCAAGGTGGACATCCATTGAGCTGGCTGGGATGTGCCGAGCACTGGCAATGATGCCCACAAGTTGAGCAGTGGATGCTTTGAGGTCGGTGTAGAGACTCGTGTGTCTCATGGTCTGATATGACAGCTTTACACTAGGGAGTATACAGCACCAACTTGCAGCATCACTCTGTGTACCATCCACAGTGATTCCTATATGACGCGCAGCTTTCCCGCGCAATGCGCGCCATGCGCGCACCATTCCCGCGCTTCACGATGTATATGCGCGCGCGCGTTGTAGAGACTCGTGTGTCTCATGGTGTGATATGGCAGGTTTCACTAGGAAGTATACAGCACAAACTCGCAGCGTCATTCTGTGCGCTACCCACAGCTATCTCTATATGACGCGCAGCTTTCCCACGCAACGCGCGCCATGCGCGCACCATTCCCGCGCTTCGCAATGTATACGCGCGCGCGCGTTCCTGCGCTTGCGCGCCCTATAGCGCCAGCCATTCAGATGCATCCATCCACTGTCCACCAAGCTTCCTAGTACGTATATTTCCATTTCCTTTATTAGCATAGTTCCACCTTTATTTTTATCATAGTTTCTCACTCATATATATCCTTACATACCTACTCGGTAGCGCTTCGGCTCCGCATGACCGCGCTTAGGCGCGCTATATAAGCGCCAGCAGTACATACTACACTTTACCTTACTTTTCCCTTGAACTTACTAGTTATCACCCACTATTTACTTAGCAGTACATAGTAGAAGTCTATTGGTCTACACTTTGCATCTATCTTTTCTTATATTGCTTTATATCATCACTTAAGCTTAGTCTCTTTTATTTCCGCTTACGCGCGCGCGCTTTCCCGCGCTTCGCGCTAATACGCGCGCGCGTTCCCGCGCCTTCGTACCTTGCGCGCACTTGCGCTTTCTCACGCTTCACTGAAGCGCGTACCTCTAGATCTTCGCAGCACTCGCTTCCCCTAGGGTCGAACGCACTTGTCTCCTCAAGAATAGCAGACTAGGTAACACGCGACCTCACAACATTTTATAGATACAGTTAGGAGCATCCTTGTTCCTCATTGTATTGTTGTTTCTACAGCGTTCCCGCGCTTGCGCGCCCTATAGCGCCAGCCATCCAGATGCATCCATCCACTGTCCACCAAGCTCCCTAGTGCGTATATTTCCATTTCCTTTATTAGCATAGTTCCACCTTTATTTTTATCATAGTTTCTCACTCATATATATTTTTACATACCTACTCGGTAGCGCTTCGGCTCTGCATGAGCGCGCTTAGGCGCACTATATAAGCGCCAGCAGTACAACCTTACTTTTCACCCAACTTTACCTAGTACTTACTACTTAGAAAGTCGCAGTAGAAATCTATTCATTAGCACAACACATCTCACATCCTTTATCTTGCTTATATCTTCACATAAGTTTAGTCTCTCTTATTTCCGCTTACACGCACGCGCTTTCCCGCGCTTCGCGCTAATACGCGCGCGCGTTCCCGCGCCTTCGTACCTTGCGCGCACCTGCGCTTTCTCGCGCTTCGCTGAAGCGCGTACCTCTAGATCTCCGCTGCACCTGCTTCCCCTTTAGGGTCGAATGCACTTGCCATCTCAAGTATCGCAGACTAGGCAACGCACGACCTACAACTTTTTAGATACAGTCAGGAGCATTTCTTTGTTCCTCTCAGTATTGTTGTTTCTACATCGGTCAATGAAGATTGAACTGGAGTAGACATTTGGATTGAATTGAGAGATGTGAGAATGTAGAAAGCAGGGTGAAATCTTGTATCACTAGGATGAAGTTTCAAAGAAACAATACAATTGAAGGACAATGTTGAAAATCATTGGTTGTTTGTCTTTGTTTGGTCACAGTTCAACTTTTGGCAATCGCCAGCCATTTGTTGAACTTTGATGTTATCTGTTATTAATCAGTTCATCAGTTCATCAGCTCATCAGATATCATGAGCTCTCAACCTGAGGTCAGATTTCATGACCCTCTGGTCACTGAATCCACCTCAATGGATGTGGATGAGTCCTCCATGTCCCGGATGTCCCTTGGTATGTTTTATTTTGCTGATTTCAGTCAATTGATCTAACATGGTTTAGATCCATTAGATGATATATACCTTGGGCTGGATGATGAGTTAGACTCTGATTCTGGGTCGTCTGGTGGTTTGGATGTGTTGAATGCGATTCCTGGTATGTTTCTCAATTCAAATGTGCATATTCTGACTGTGCAAATTAATCACATACTTTGTTAAGGTCATACTCTCGTAGGATCGGATCTGAAGGACTTCGGCCTCAGCTCGTATGCTGTGCCCCTTTCCCAAGTACTTGTCCCTTATTTCAAAGTACTAACGATAACCGTCCGAAGGTCCAGACAGGTCTCATAGATACTGTATATCTGGATGACTTCCAGATATCGGAAATGCGTATAAGACTAATCTGGATGGATCCGGACTAGAAATGAACAGAGTATAGACTATCGGAATTGATCCGAAGTCTTGGAGGTTTGACAAGAGTTGAAGACTCAAGTCTGGAGGACAGAAAGAGGACAAACTAAGATGATATTCAAACTGAGGTACTACAGGACATATACATGGGCTTATATACTAAGAGGATAACGAAATGATAAGTAAGCAAAGGTCCAAAGGCTATGTACGAAGCATGTGCAAAGGTTATCAAACACGAGTCGGAAATGAAGCATAGGTTAATGGATCAGTAATCATACCGGTAATAAGTATAGCTGAAACACCGGGAAGAGGAAATATTGAATAGGCTGTGTTTAATATTAAATGAACAGGAAATGAAATAGGAAGCTTATCGGATATCAGATCAGAAGCGGATCTATGCATCGTACTGGACCGGATCTCAGGGTCCAAAGTCTGGAAGAGAAGCGTGAATATATGGGATATGACACTTCTTTTTCTTGTTGTTGAACAACCAAGTCTTGTACACCTAAGAGTTGATGAAAGAACGTGATGTTGAAAATTTAGTTTTTCAACACAACAAAGATGCTGTAGAGACTCATGCCTCTCATGGCGTGATATGGCAGTTTTCACCAAGGAGTATATAGCACCAACTTGCAGCACCACTCTGTGTGCAGTCTGCAGCTATCCCTATATGAGGCGCAGCTTTCCCGCGCAATGCGCGCCATGCGCGCACCATTCGCATGCTTCGCGATGTATATGCGTGTGCACTTTCCCACGCTTGAGCGCCCTATAGTGCCAGCCATCCAGATGCATCCATCCACTGTCCTCCAAGTTCTCTAGTGCATATATTTCCGTTTCTCTCATTTGTATATTGTTCCACCTTATTTTTATCATGGACCCTTACTTATATATATGTGTATCTCTATATACCTACTCGGTAGCACTTCGGCTCCGCATGACAGCACTTAGGCGCTATATAAGCGCCAGCAGTACATACCATTACTGACTGGAGGACTTGACTTTTGACTTTACTTTCAACTTTACTTTACTTTACTTTCCACCCACTATCTACCTAGAAGAACATAGTAGAAATCTTATTCACTTACACTTTGCATCTCTCTTCTCTTATCTTGCATCATATTAGGGGAAGTCAGAGTTGGCGATTTACGCTCGATCCAAATTGCGATTCAGAGGCCGATTCAAAATTTTAGATTGTCCTTGAATCATAGTCAACTTTGACCACCCCCGATTCAACTACACGATTCTGCTCCCTTTGAACACATATTTATTATGTAATCATATTCAGCTTGTCTACTACTGTTCTCCGTCTCAGGCTTCAAATACACTGGCGATAATGCCCCGTTTCACACCTAGACAGCGACGGGTTGAAAAATTACTCAGCGCCTTTATCAGGTATCACATTGCTCAATTTAAACGTGCTCGACATTGTGCTGCACGAAGCCAGCATACTTTGCTAGCTGTGTCAGGATCTCATCAAGCTCCCCTTCTACCATGTCAATTGTCGAGCTCTGAGTCAGAAAGCCTACCATCATTCTCATTGTCTGACTCAAACACCGACTCATGTCAATTGTTGAGCTCCGAGTCAGAAAGCCTATCATCATTCTCGTTGTCCGACTCAAACACTGACTCAGGCACCTCCATATCCGAAAGCTCCACCTCTGAAGATGAAGACCACAGTGGTAACTCAACTTCCAGTGACAAGTTTGAACTAGACTCAGATTTGGCAAATGATGCCGACGATGAGGAAGAAGTTGGACTTGGAGCATACTATACTAGTACTCGTTTATCCCACCATGTTCGACGCACCTATGAGGACATATATGCACATCGTTATGATGCCCCATGCAACAAGCCCATACCCAAAGCCCCCTCTCACCTTCCACATGTTCTCGAGGTCCTGAAATTTGAACGACCAGCTGAATTCCGTGAAATTCTCCACGTAAATCCTCATACCTTCAATCAAATTGTTGCAAAGATACAGGACGATGCAGTATTCTTCAATAATTCAAATAATCCTCAGCAGTCAGTCAAAGAGCAGCTCGCCATCACCCTTTTTTGGTTCGGTCATAATGGTAATGCAGCTGGTCAATCCCCAGTTGCACGATGGGCAGGAGGGGGCCATGGCTCCATGTCGCTAATTACAAAGTGAGTCATGACTGCCATATTGCGTTGTTCCTTCATGGAAGAGGCTGTGCATTTCCTGACTGCCGAAGAGAAAGAGGATGCGAAGTTGTGGGTTGAAATGCACTCGTGTAAAGCATGGTGAGATGGTTGGTGTCTTGTTGATGGCACACTCATTCCATTATATGATTGGCCTCATTGGTACGGGGAAAGTTACTTCAATAGAAAATGCAACTACTCCCTTAACACACAGGTATTTTTCAATCTTGTCTGTGCAAATTGAAAGCTAAAATACTTCAGGTTATTTCACTACCAAATCTTCGCATTATCGACTTCGGCTATGGCCACACAGGAAGTGCTCATGATTCAACAGCATGGGACGAGACCCATCTTGCCCAGGAGCACGAGACCCTGCTTGATGACGGAGAATTTGTCTGGGCAGACTCTGTATATCCGGTAAGTTGTCTGTTGATGTGGTGTACAGCAGAAACTTACTACATCAGTCAGTTACAGACATGGGTCATTGCTCCATACAAGAAACCCGAGAAAGACCTTGCACAGAATGAAGTTTTCAACAATCATGTGTCGATGGTGCGGATTCGGTCGGAGCATGCTATTGGGTTTCTGAAGGGACATTTTCAGTCGCTAAAAGCTCTTCGGGTAAGAATCAAGGACAAGAAATCTTACCAGTTTGCTACATACTGGATTGCTGCTTGTGTTGGCCTTCATGCATTTGCAATGCAATGCGAGGCTGATGAGCGTGAAAGGGACAATTCCGATAGCGAAGATCCTTTCATAGCGCAAGGCCTTTCATCAGACTCCGATTCCGACAGTCATGCAAACCTTCCTAGTGTCTTGCAAGGGCTGGCCAGTGGGTTACGTTTCCGCAAAGCCAAAGCCCGACGTGAGCAGTTGAAACGTCGTTTGTTCAGAGCAAAGGATTACAAATGAAGGCAGCAAGACTTAGAAGAAGATGGGGACATTTAGTTTTTATGTAGTCGAAAACAGGATTTGAACTAAGTACTTGGAATGAGATTAATCTGACGGGAAAATGATGGATGATGCATCAAATGACCCAGAAGCTGTGTTAGCTGTGTTTTCACTTGCATAAGACTCAGCGGCAGGTGATAAGGGTGTCCGGTAATATGCAGAAGTTGGTGGATATGGCAAGTGTGGGTGAGAACTGCTCGAAGGATTGGGAAAGGTATTGTGCATGTTGAATTCGGGGAATCCATGTTGTTGGCTCGTTCCTTCCATAGTAGTAAGGCACATTCTCATCTTCTCTTGTTGCCGCTCCCTTGCATAGGCTAACTTTTCCTTCTGCAACTCAAGCTTTGCCAACTTTGCTTTTGCCCGTACAGTGTCCTTCTCTATTCTCGCCTTGGCCACTTCAAGCTCTTTCTGTCTAGTCACTTCCTCCACTTGTGCAATCTCGGCAAATTCATCCTTCTTTCATCTCTTCATTGGATTCTTTGGAGCCTTAGTAGTGGTGGCAGGTTTGGACATCCCAGGTTGTGGGCCCATTTTGAAACCAATAACACTACTCTTACCTTGCCTTTCTCCACTCGTCAATGCCTTTCGTTTTGAAGGCACTTCGTCAGCAGCGCTGTCTAAATCTGACAATGGCCACTTGTCACGATCAAGCTCATCAAAGCCTTCTGAAACATCTGGTTCATCAGACATAAACCCACTATTGGGTTCTGAGCTGCCAACGGTCAGAACTGACATGTCATAGTCCATCTGACTGTGCCTGAGACCAACAGGAACTTGATTTGGGCGCTCAGCTATAAGCTCCCGCATGTCGAAGAACCATGGGCATGCTTCTTTAATAATTGCTGGCATGAAAAATGTTGAATGGTAGGTGCTGGTTGTCATAGAGGTACGCACCCCACTTTGTTGTAAATGAATTTTTCACATCCATATTAATCTCATCTTCTCAAGTTATTCCCGCACCTGTCTCGCCCATTTCGTCCATGTACTTGCACGTGATCTCGGACATTCTGTGGGACCATATAGTAAGTGCATGCATCACTTGATGTCATCAGGATGACACTTACCTCTTGATTTGATTTTTAATCTTATTAGCCCAAGTGTCTTTCTGTTTGGGAGTGATGGCATGTGAGAATGGTGTATGATAGTCTGGATGGTTCTCGAACAGTGTGACACATATGGCCCAGTGGTACGCAGCCTTTGTCTTGCCACCAGTCCGTGGATTTGCTCCAGGAGAAGGAAATAGCCCTTGCTTGATATTTGTGTCGTCCGTAATGGCAGACAGGAGAGCGGCACTCATTGTTGGGGTCCAGCTGGACTCGAATGAGTCATAGGTAAACGAAGGTAAAAATTGGCCCAGACTCGGAGGTACGTACTCGATATCAGTCTTATCTTCAAGTTCAGGCTGACCATCATGATCACTATCCACCGGCAGCTCACTATCACTTGCATTTCCTTTTTTCTTGCTGGCCTTTTTACTACCTTTGGCCTTTGATGGACCTTTCCTCGAGTTCTTGGGTGCCTTCGGTGCTTGATCTGGAGCTTGCTCAGCGGCCTTTTTCGCCATTGGTTGAGTTTGGAGTAGGACTCAGAGACGAGTGTTATTTTGCAGTAGTGACTTGTCATATGTATTTATTTAAATAAAAACAAATTTAATTACTCGGATGGGGAGAATCAAACATGATTCAAGAGGTGGAGTGGCTTGGGAGGTGTTCCAACAATCCAGCTGCGATTCACTGTTCCCACGATCCATCAATGAAAAAACCGATGATGGATCGCGATGTGGAACAGCTCTTGAATCGAGCATGGATTGCCAACTCTGACTCCCCCTATTATCACTTAAGTCTAACCTCTCTATTGTTTCCACATACATGGGCGTGCTTTCCCGCGCTTCGCGCTAATATGCATGTGTGTTCCCGTGCCTTGTGCGCACCTGCGCTTTCTCGCGCCTCGCTTCAGCGTGTACCTCTAGATCTTCGCTGCACTCACTTCCCCTTTAGGGTCAAACGCACTTGTCTCCTCAAGTAACGCAGACTAGGCAACGCGCGACCTTACAAACATTTATAGATACAGTCAGGAGCTTCATTTGTTCCTCACAGTATTGTTGTTTCTACAACCCCTCACCTGCTTCCTCTTTTTCCATTGTTTTTGGTCCAACTTAGGAGCAAACAACCTGGCCACTGAAGGTACAACAATTCAGATGGTAAGTCTGAACAATGTTGGGTCTTGCAAAACCTAGCTGCTATTTGACCCTAAAGGGTTTCTGGACAAGGCTCAAGGCTCAGAGAAGAGGAAATATGATAGAAACTTGCTGATCTCTCAGACTCATACTGGTAACTGGTGAAAAGATAACTTGATTATGTAAGCTACAAAAGTGCCAACATAAGGTCAGGTAAAAACAGTCTCTACCAGCCCAGCCAGAAATGAATCCCTACACCGCCCTTGCTATGGCAGTGAAAATCACTCGTCTCTCACTCCTTTTGGCAGCAGTCCACTCAGGAAGGTAGTTCTTCAACTCCAAATCTCCTTGTCTGTGAGCTTCTGCGACTGTGGTTGATGGACCCTGTGTCTTCTGGAAGTCATGTTGGTGGAATGACCTGTTCTTGCCATAGTGAATCAGAATGCAGAAAGGGCTAATTATTTGCAAGGTGGAAGTATTAATGAATTGTGCGAAGTTGAACTTCAAGCAAAGCCTAATGATGGGTTAATTGGCCCATATTGGAAGAGAAGCCATTAATGGAAATGAATTTGTAATGAGCCAACAGGACTGCACGGCATCATATTGCAATAACAATTCATTACACCTGAGCTGATGCCTTGCTTGTAACATTAGTAAACAAGATGAAGATAGGTAGATGCATCCCAGTGCAAAAATCTCACAGGGTGGAAGCAAGAGGCAGCAAAGGTAGGAAGACTTGGGTCAAGGTCCCACTTGCAAGCACGAGGCGACATGCCTACAGGTCCATGCCTAACTCTCCCCCAGAATCACCAACAATTCAGCCTGTTGAGGCACCACCTCCTTGGGAAGACTTTCCTGACAATACTTATGAGCAGGACCAAGGCTCATTTGAGCCTTTGCAACTCCCAAAAACCATGGCAAGTTCACGTACAATGTTGGAGTGTCATTCAAACTATGGCTAAGCATTCAAAAATTCAGAGTCAAAATGACTACCTCAGGCAATGGCTGTCAAGGCAGGAATCATATCTACATCACCTCCTCGATCGAGAAGCTCCACCAGAAGACAGGAGATGCATCATCTGCCAACAGGATGGGGTGTAGAAATGTCAAGATTGTCTTGGCGAGCCACTCTATTGCACGGGCTGTTGCAGGAGTCAACATTGTAGCAATCCTTTCCACTGGACCACTGGATCAGTCAATGGAATGGGCGATTCTTTGAGCGGAGTTGTCTAGCTCATGTGGGACTCATTATATACCTTGGCCATGATGGCAAACAATGTCCGGCGGTCACCGATCGGTGGAATTTGTTGGAAGAAAATGAACCCGAAGACCTGCTTGAGCCTGAAGATCTGCCATTTGTGTCTGGACCCAAGCTCCAGCCAAAGGAAAACACCATGGTCATTGTCGACAAGTCTGGAGTTCATCGCCTGGAGGTTCGATGCTGTGAATGTCCGAATGCCATGAGTCCAGACATTCAAATGTTTCGACACAGATTTTTCCCTGCATCTTTCAACAGGCCAAAGACTGTGTTTACCTTCAGAGTGCTTGATGATTTTCTACTGGACAGCCTTGAATGCGGCACCTTGGCAATGAACTATTACAGCAAGCTCCGGTGAATGACCTCCAGCATGTTTCCACACCTTGTTCCGGTAATGCCTTATCCTCTTCATCTACTGGACATCATATTGACAAAGCACATTGTAAGGACCGATACAGAGAGCTCATAAGGGTCGCCCGACAGTGGAGGCAGTTGAAGACAATGAAATGGCATGGCTTCGGCCATCGTTCTGATAACCCGAGCACAGGAGAACTTGCATTATTTTGCCCGGCATGTCCTCAGCCTGGGATTAATGTGCTGTTGTCAGAGGATGAATCTCTTGATGAGTGAGTCCTATTCTCAACTGCTGTGGCCTCCATAATAATACTAGGGATCCAAGCTGAAAATACACCCGGTCATTTGTGATGGATGGAAATTTCAAAGCTGAACATCTGCATCCCATTAAGCCATTCGATGAAGTTTGGCTGTCTGATGGGCTTGGATTCATGGTAGGAAAGGACAGGTATAAAATGCATCTAGCAGAGGCTGCTGACACAGTGGAAAAATCAAGCTGCAACAATCACCGGGCAGTAAATCAAGCTAATGCTGCTCGGCACAAGCTGGAGTCCACCGGTATCAGGGGAGTTGCCTGTGCCAGACACGGTTGCTTTGTCCCTCACTCCATGGTGGATTTTCAGAAAGGCGAAAGGCAAGCCACATCCACCATTCCCCATTCACAAGTTAACCATGGGTCACTTGCAGACAAATAAACATGGACTATGCCCTTTGCGAGGCTTCCCGGCACAACATGGAAGGCATCACCAGGGCTGTCACCTTCTATGATATTAATTGTCAATACAACAAACACTTTCGGGTTCGGTGTAGAAGAGTAATGGGAAGTGGGTGAAAATAGGTGGTGTGAGATAACTCAAGTAGTCCTCAGTGAGCGAGATATACGTCGGCCCAAGGGGATTGCTACTGAGAAGGTTCCTCTAGGTGTATAAACGGAGGGAAACACTGAACCGGGCGCTTGGTCAAGCCTGGTTAGGCGCGCGACAATGAGCGAAGCGCAAGCGAACGAAAGCGACGTGAGGCGCCGATGAGCGATAGCGGCCGACGACAGATATCGGCGCGCAACTTATACGGAAGCGCGCGCTTTAAGCAGAAGCGATGCGCGCGGGGGTGATAGAGCGCAGCGACTCTTAATGAGTCAGAATACTAATTTGACAGAGTTTCTAGTAGAGTACGGCGACGGCGCTCGTATTGTACTTTGATACCCTTTCTAGTTTTTAGAGGATAACTTTAGACTTATAGTCCAACGACGTGTGGGCAGGAAAAGATACCCTTACACAGTTTATGTACGTCTATATATACTAAGTAATGATAAGCGCTGTCAAGCGCTAAAGCGAGCCGAGAAGCGAAGCGGATGCGAGATAATATGTAATAAGGGTTCATAACGGAAACATACGAAATATGACCATAAGCGCCGGAGATATGTTAAATCAATGAAAATAGAATCGGAATACGCACCGACGAACCAAACGGACATGGAATGGATGGACGGAGGATGTGTGACGGAACCAAGGATGTGCGCGCTGATGCGCGACTAAGAAGCGACCGGAGCGCTGGCGCTTGCGAGCGGCCGACAAAGCGCGGGGGCGCGCTGCGTGAGGTATGAGTCGCGCTATGTGAGGAAGTGGTAGTAAGAATGGGATTTTAGACCCCTGCAAGGCCACAGAGATATTAGTCTCTACATCTCATAGGAACTTAGCTTCTGACTGTCCCCAGTCAGTGTATATAGGGGCGGAGAGACTTGGTAAAATTTCGACGAGGAAAGTCACGTGACCGTGGGTAGGACGCGTTGAAAGCGTATGTGGAACGGTCCACCGGCGTTTTGCGAGCTTGTGGACTGCGAGCGCTATTGTGCTGACATAATGTGGTTCGTTTCGGGCATAAAAGAACCGGCCTTGCGTCGCGCTTCTCTTCTTCAATTCAATTATCCATCGCGTCTTCGCGATAATCTCTTCATCGCTATACCATCATGTCCTCCATTCCTTTTAACCCTGCTATGCTTACTGCATCTCCCTCCCCTTCACCCGAACCTGAGGAGCGCCCTCAAGATGAAGGTAACACGTCCGTTGACGATGCCACCCTCGACGACACGACTCCGAAGGAGCCGCAGGAAACCGTTGCCGACCGGATCCGTCGGTCTTGGGTGGTGACACTAGGCATGATGCGTGTCTCGGTGAAGACCAGTCCTCCTGCGAAACCGGAGCTCCTCGAAGATCAGGAGACTTGGCTCCGCGCTTGGGAACGGACTATGGTGAGTTTGTATGATTGATGTGTCGCTTACTGATCACTAATATAACTTTTCTTAGAGCGACATGAGTTCGCTGTTTGACCAGGCGCGCGCCGCTGAGGTACATCTGTCCCTCAGCGATGCGGAAGCGGTCGATCTTGCCGCTGGCAAGGTCGCCGCTAAGGCCCTTTACAAGACCGTTAAGGCTTGGAAGGAGAAGGCTGTGGAGTCCGCGCCGACGGCGCGTCAGGTGCGTTCGGAGAAAGAGAAGGCGCTGGAATCTGCGCCGACGGCTGAGAAGGCGGCCTCATCGGAGGTGACTGACATGGGTCGCCCGGTAAGTTTCTTTCTTTTATGTCTCCTTTTTTTTTGCTAACTTGTTCTTACTAGCGTCTCGGCGGTCGTATTACCACGACTCCGGTGATTACGCATCCGGACGTCCTGTGCGCGCAATGCGCGACTGCTGAGATCCCTTGCGTGCTGGTCGATGGCAACCTGCACTGCAAGGGATGCACCAAGGCCAAGAAGGGCTGTTCCTTTGGTATGTTTCCTCTTTTCCTTCTTTCATCTTTTTACTAACTATCTTCTTTCAGTTGGCGACAAGGCAAAGGAGCACGCGCCGGCTGCGCCGAAACCCAAGGTGGCCGCGTCGACCGCTGCGCCTAAGGTGAAGACGCCTGTTCCTGCGCCTGCCCCTAAGGGCAAAACGCCTCCTCCTGTCGCTGGGCCGGCGCCGGGTTCGGTTACCGATACCGTCCCTAATGTTGGTTCATCGGACGTGGAAATCGTCGGTGAGTCGACCGTTGATGAGGATGCCGCCGTTGGCGGCAAGACGATTGTCGTTCAACGTGCGAAGCGTCCTCTCGCTTCCCGTCCTGCGCCGGCGCCTAAGCGCCCTCGCCTTGACTTGGCGGCACAGTTGGACGAGTCTCGTATCGAGGCCGCTCAACTGCGCATTCGAAACGCTGAGCTGGAGGCCGAGGTGGCGAAGTGGAAGGGGGTAGTTGTTGACATGCGGCAGCATAGCCGTATGCAGGAGGCGGAGGTATTGGCGATGAGCAATCACATTTACAGCATGGGGCGCGATTGGGGTGCTTGGGAGAAGGAGATTGCGGAAATGCTAGAGGAGAAGAAGGAGTGATAGCTAGAATGTTTTCTTCTTAGTATAGAGTCCCTGTTGGCGCCAGCGCGCCTGTACTATAGAGTCTCCCCGCAGAGCGGCGCCTGGTGCGTCTTAATATTAGTATCCTGTCGCATCCGGTCCGATTCCAATCCAATTCCATTTCCATGTCTGATTCAGTTCGCCAGCCTAATGAAGTAAGGAAATTCTGAGTAAGCGCATGAAATAATATAGAGTCATAAGAAAATACGGCGGTCGCGCAAGCTGCGCGCTTGTCTTTTCTTCATCGGACGTCCTGTCGCGTCTATTCCTTCGTTATCCCTGTGCGTTGCCTGGGTATTAGGTGCTGTTGGCATATAACATTATAAACGTAAATGTGCGCGGCGCGGCGGCGCGCGTTCGAAAGAGAAGGTCTATGGGTGGTTATGCGCGCGCTTCTATGATAACTTATCTTTTGAATATATATATATATATATGGGGTTGATTATCGGCCGATCGGCTTTGCATAGGATAGAGTCTGTTGGTTGTATGTTCAATGCAATGCGCGTGTTATGAGACATGATAAGGGAAACTGAGGTCGCCGGCCGAAGCCCGGGGTAAAACGGAGAGAAGTGAAATCTATGGTATGTTTTTGCGGTTGTTTTTGGGTTATATGTTGTTTTTGTTGATGTGTTGAGCGGGGTAATAGCGGTTTTGTGCGGATATGTGCGTGAGAGTGTTGGTTAATATGCGGGAAGTGGATAAGCGCTATGCGTCGAACGCGCGCTCGGGTTCGTCTTCGTCGGGTTCTTCGACATCTTCGTCGGCTAAGTGATCAAGGGTTTCGTCGTCTTTACCGGTGATGCTTGTCACCATAATGCGCTCATTGCTGCGCGGAAAATAGGGAATGATGCGGAACGCTGCGTAGCGCAATTTAGAGATAGCGCCGTCCAACTCGGCCAGCAGATATGAGCCTCCCTTCGTGCGGCGCACTATTATCATTGGTCCCAAGTATCGCGGCTTTGTCTTCTTGCTGAGCTCGTACTCAACCTTCGAATTGCGCACCAGCACTAAGGTGCCGGGCGCGTGATCATAGTCGCGGATAGTCGCACGGAAGCGTTTTTCGAAGTCGCGAACCGACGCGAAGCGCGCCTTCATTACCTTGTCTCTAATAGCCGTGAGATCCTCAATGCGCTTCTGCAACTGGCGTGCACGCCATGCAATGAGTTCTGTGGTACTAAACGCCGCGCGCGCTGGTGTTGGCGCTAAGAATGTTGCTTCTGTTAGGTCAAAAGGGAAGATCGGCTCTACGCCGTGCACCATAAAATACGGTGATAAACCCGTTGCGCGATGTATGGTGACGCGCTCGGCCCAAAATACCGAGTGAACGACTTGATACCAATGAGTATCATCTCCATCGCAAGTTTTAATGATGGCCTCCCGGACATCACGATGTCGGCGCTCTACTATACCATTCGCTTGCGAATTATAAGGCGATATGCGGATGGGGTGGATATTGTACCGCTCTGCGAGCATATCAGCGGCTAATCTATAAGCGGGCGCGTTGTCAGTAATAATCTCCGTGATAGGGCCCCATCGACATAGGAGTTCTTCATATATGAAGGCCATAAGCGATTTCGTATTCTCCTTGCGCAACATGCGCCATTCCGGATATGACGTAAGTGCGCAACGCGCTTGAACTAGATACTCATATCCTCCCGCTTTGGGCATTTTCATTGTGTCAATGTGCACCCTGCGGAACAATCCTCCTGGCATCGGTACCATCGGCGGGACATGAAGCTTGAGCGATTGCCTGGTCTGGCACTCGTGGCATGTGCGCGTGTACCATTTAATGTCGTCATCTATGTGCGGCCACCAAAAACGCAGTAGCAACCGCGAGCGAACGGCGTATATTCCTTTGTGCCCTAGATCGTCGTGCGCTTGCTTCAAAAT